CAAAGCCACAAAAAAAAAAACCCTGTCTCAAAAAAACAAAAAAAAAAAAAAAAAAAAAAAAAAGAGAGAGAGAAATTTTTATTTTTCCTATGCCTTCTTTATCAAGAAACTATGAGTGCTACTTATCTCTTAAAAGAAAAAAAAATGTCTGGACATTGGTTTGTAGATGCTATTATATTCATAGGCACCGCTGAGAGAATTCAGTTGGCAAATTCTGTCTCTCATTTATTTTTGGGACTTTACCCTTCAGTCCCTGGGACCCTGCTCTTCAGCCCCATGGATCCTTTCCTCAGTCTCCTACATGTCACCTTCAGTCCCTGGAGTGCCACCTCCATCTCTGATACACCATCCTTTCTGTTTTCTCTGAGCGCAGCAAGGCTTTGGAGTAGACTATCTCTGTGGAGCAAAGCTGCGCCCTCAGAAACAGACTGGATCAGGAGAGGTCTGGGTAGCTGTTTGCTTGCTGCCGCTTGGATTTCATAGTAGTAGGGGACCTTTGTCCCTCAGATTAAGCAGTAGTCAACATTGAGTAGGCCACCACCAGCTTCTGCTTTCAGGCACACACAGAATCATACATAACCTTTGGTCAAGGGGCCGTCAACAGTGCCTGTCCCCCCACCCTCTGCCTCCTCACTCCCCTATCTCCCCCTGGCCCCACCCCCTCACTCCCCTACCCTCCACCCTGCCCATGGCTCCAGCCCCTCCACTCCCCCACCCCTCAGTGTTCCCAGTCTCTTAGGGGCAGCTAGGCAATTATGCCTTCCTGTTGGTTTAGAGGCATGATCTGTCTGATTTTGTTCTATAGACTCCAATTGACACCACCCTGTGCTGTCTGGCTCTTTTCTTTCCTTCCCCCTCTATCTCTCCTGTTCTTCTCTTTCAGAGACAGTCTCATGTAGCTCCACTGACCCTTAAATTGTTGTTATGTACCTGATGCTGACCTTGAACTCCTGCATCTACTGAGTGCTGGGATTTATTCACTGCAGGGGTTCTGAATCTAGACAGAGGTACTGAGCCCTGCTTTAGGCTTTTTCTTTGTGTTAGGTTCCCATCTCTTGATGAGCCATGTCTCTAATGCCCTTTGCCTCTTATTTTCCTGCTAGCTTTTAGATGGCAAGGCATATTGTTTAGGGCTTGCACACAAACTCTGGAGCCTGACTACAGGACTGAGTTTGTGTCTTTGATTTGAAATCTTGAACAGGTTACTGAACCTCTGAGTTTCTGCACCCTCATCTGAACACTGGGTCTAATGGTGCTTACCCTCTGTGTTTTCTGTTGTTAAACCCATTGGTCAAGAATAAGACCACTACCACAGTCTAAGGTCAAATTTGAAGCAGCTTTAATTAAATACTGATCAGGTTGATGTACTCTCTGGCCTGGCCTGGTCCATTTCTGGTTTTTTGGAAAATGGCCTTGAGCACATTTTACAGGGGCTTAAAAAGGCAAAACCCATAATTCACTGCATTTCCAACAAGGTCCAATCAGGGGAAAGAATACATCCTGACATATTTCCTGACTGCATACCCCCCACCTACATCCAAAGAGGGGTAAGCATACATCCTGATGTACTTCCTGCCTGCATACTTCATGCCTACATCCAATCAGGGGTGAGGGTACATCCTGACATAGTTCCTGTTCGTGTACTTCCCGCCCACATGTGATCAAGCACATCCGGTACAGATGAGTCAAACAAGCTTGTTTAGGGGAGTGAAAACATGTGGCTTGTTATCTCCCATAAACAACAGACTCTAACAATTCAGGAACTATCTGTCCTTGCTCGGGGGCTTACAGATCAGAATCATTTTTCTTTCATGGACCTCTTAAGCATAGTAATTAAAACTTAAAATGCAATTTGGCTCTCACACTTTAAAGATTTAGCACCGATGCTGACAAGATCACACTCATGTTATGCATGTATATTCAAAACTGTAGCAACTTTCTCTATCCAGTGTTCTTGAAGCCTAGCAGTGCCTTAGGCAGGGATTTGGGTAGACAAGGCTGGACCTTGGAATGTTCTTTTTTGAGAAGAAGAGGTGGTATCATGATATGTGCCATTTGTTTAGGACAGAAATGACTAAGACGCTGGTCCTGCCTGCTTGGAGTTCCTTGCTGCTGCCTCCTCTCAATCTGCAGCAAGTCTTCACTTTCCATGTGTGATGAGGGCCATTGGTATTTATCAGGGTCTCACTTACCATCTCCTTCATTTCTGTGTGCAAATATGTGTGGGTGTAGTACAGTGTCTATACGTTGAGGGAAAAGGGTTGGTAGAGGTTTGTCTGTGTGATACATAGCTTGTTTCATCTAATTTATCATGTGAACATTTAAGAAAATATTTCTATAATTGATTGCTTTAAAAGAAAATGTTAAGCATGATGGTTTACAAGTCAATTAGATCCCTAATTGAGATGCCACCTACAATGAATGGCCACTGTGAAATTGAGAGTTAATTTTCTGTAAGGGTGTGGCCCCTGGTGTGTCTACCATGCTCTGGTGGGTGTGGCCCCTGGTGTGTCAACCATGCTCCAGTGGGTGTGGCCCCTGGTGGGCCCAGGCTACTCCAGTGGGTGGTTCCTTCACATGAGTATATGGGCACAAATTGAACTGGGTGATTTATTTTTAAAGAGAGAGAAAGGAAGGATAGAGGAGGTAGAAGGTGGGGAGTGTATCTGGGAGGAGGGTCCAGGGGTGAATATGATCAAAATACACTCTACGAAATTCTAAACAAATTAATAAAGATAGTATGTTTTTAAAAATGCTAAATACTAACACAAAATAAATAGACAACTTAGGTGTACTTTACTATTACTTGGCAATTAGCTGTTGTTTGCTGAGAAATTTCAGAACTTTCCCCATCTAAGATAACAATAATTTTTTTTAACATCTATCACTGTAGGTGCCAAGTATCAATCTGTACACTATTGAGTTAACACATGGGGAATTCACATGGCAAGTGAAGAGGAAATTCAAGCACTTCCAAGAGTTTCATAGAGAGCTGCTCAAGTACAAAGCCTTCATCCGAATCCCCATTCCCACGAAAAGGTAACCACGGCAGAACTAACATAGTTACCCCACTATGCATGAATGGAAGTGCGTTTTATCCTTTTCATAAAATGTCCAGTTGGCGTAAACATTTTCAATTGCATAGCTCTTATAAAAGTTAGTCACCTCAGCTGGGTACATTGGTGCAAGCCTGTGGTTCCCAGTGCTTAGGAAAAGGGAACAAGAGGAATTCAAGGTGAGTCTGGCTACATAGTGAGTTGGAGGCTGGCCTGGGCTAGATGAGAATGTTTTAAACATTGACAGAATGAAAATAAACCATGACATGAAAGATAATACGCATGTATCTATATTTTAGACATACTTTTAGAAGACAAAATGTCAAAGAAGAGCCCCGAGAGATGCCCAGTTTGCCTCGTTCATCAGAAAACACCATCCAGGAAGAACAGTTCTTTGGCAGGAGGGTGAGTTTTCTCTGTTCTGCTGCTTTATGCAAATGTAATTTTACTTATTACCGTGTGTGTGTGTGTGTGTGTGTGTGTGTGTGTGTGTGTGTGCACCCATACACACTCATAGAGTGTGTATGTAGTGATTAGAAGACAACTTGTGAAGTCAGTTCTCTCCTTCCATGTTTTCATGGCTTATCAAGATCAAGCCCAGGTCTTGAGGCTTGTATGGGAAGCCCCTTTACCTGCCTTCTCTCTGGCTCTTGTGCGGTTTTGAAATCCTTTCTCAGCACTGTAAGGACCTAGTACTTAAGGAGGGGAATGTGGTTGATACACCCCCACCCCCAACCCCAGGCTGACTGACACCTGGCTTTGCTTTTCTGGAACTTAGACATCTCCTGGTTTCCCAAGCCAAGGAGGAGGCAGAGTGTTTGTTAGATAATGGACAGCTATCTTCCCGATGGAACATCCCTGGGCTTGAGGGGAGAGGAAGACAGCATATTCCAATAGGTTTTGAGAGTCACTCCTAAAAAGCAGACATTTCTACCCATTTATTTGATTTCTAAGAGCTCATTTTAAATATATGTGAAATCATATTCCTCCTCCTTAAATGGGGTGGTTACGGTCTGAAATCATCGAGATGGAGCACAAACAGGAGAGAGAAGACAAGGTCAAGGGCATCTCTGCCCACCCTGCTTCAGTGACTGTCTGGTGTCACTAAGGCAGGGGATAGATTTGTATTAGCATATTAGTAATTCTGTCATTTTTATCAGTTCAGTTCTGGAATCTGAAATGTGTATGCTGTAGAGAACAGAGACCACCAAACTAGTCTACATGCAACAGTCTTTAAAATAAATTCAAACACCTAACTCTTATGGGCAATGTTGTTCTGCTAAGTACAGAAGAATAAAACCACACAGCTAGAGGCTTGTTAGCTTTAAGGTTAGCACTGCCACTTGACAGGGTCACTAGGAGAGAAGCCTCTGGACATGCCCAGGAGGGTTCTCTGGATTAGGTTTACTGACGGGAAGAATGACCTTAACCATGAGCGCTCATGGGCTAGGGCTCAGGACTGAATAAAAAGGAAACAGCAAACTGAGCTCCAGCCTTCCCCACGCTGCCTCTGACTGTGAGTGCTGAGAGACCAGCCAGCCTCCCATTCTTGCCATCGTCCCTTCTGCTCCACAGTAGACTGTGTCCTCTCAAACTGTAGGCCAGAATAAACTCTTTCTTGCTGGGTATTTTGTCACAATAATGATGAAAATAACAAATTCGAAGACCTAAACATCTTGAAAGTTAAATATTAATAGCAAGAAGAGCTTTAACTAACACCCCAAGAGTATGATAGGTGTTACACCTTACTGCCTAGCCATGGAGTATAGTTATATATGACTGACAGATGTTTAAATGAGACCTGATATCATCATTTCGATTGTTTAAATTTTCCACAGACATGATTGTGTTCAAATGTATCCAAAATATTATTTTTTTTTTATTGTAGAAGCAACTGGAAGATTACTTGACAAAAATACTAAAGATGCCCATGTACAGAAACTATCATGCCACGGTAAGTACCCTCCAGTGGTCTTAAAGGAACCTATAGAATCCTAAATTGAATAATTTCATGAACATAGGTGCTTTGGGTTCTTGAGCTGCACTAAATTAATAAATACAAAATTGTTTTGGCAGTCGATCTGGCTTCAAGTTTACAGTGATGACTGTGTTTAAAATACTGAGTAGAACTTGGTCTGTCTGCACCAATAGATCCAAATAAAGTTGGAATGCTAAACCAGCCCTCTCCTCCCCTCAGGTTTTTAGAATAAAACAAACAAACAAACAAAAACCCCAAAAAACATTTCAATGCAAACTGTCAAGCAGAGTTGCATACACACAGATTAGATGAAGCCTAATTTCATTGCCATCTGATTGGTGTTTTCTTCTGAAAGTGAGAAGCATGGGAAAACCAGGGAAAGAAAGACCTCTTGCAAAATATAAGAAAAGAGAAAGAGAAAATGGTAGTGCTGAGAAGGGCCACAGAGGCTGAGCCTGGAAGGCCAGCAGCCAGCCAGCAGGAGGAAGCAGGCTTTGCAGTGTCAGCAAACAGAGCTTTGCTTCCCAGAGGCCCTTGAATGGGGAGTGGAGTGTTTTTTAAAAGATTAGCTTTCAGTTCTGCTGAGGTCTGAACAATGGTGAATGCCTGGATTATAATATTTCTCTCTGGTAGCACCGACTGAGGTTGGCTACACGGAAGTGTTGCATGTAGAATGTATGAATCCACACAGGTGTGCCTTGGCCTGTGCCTTGGAGAATGGTGACTCATAAACACAGGGACTGAAGAGGGGAGAGGAAGGGAAAGTGCCTGGCTCTGCTGTTTCTTGTGCAAGAGCTTCCCCATTACTGTCTGCTGGGCCAAACACACCCAGATGATCCCTATTTACGCACATGGCCTGACCCAGGCTTCTGATGCTTGTGCGATGGTCTGCAGTGAGGTGGTCATGGACTTGAGGAGCCTGTAGTGGCCTTCAGTGAGGAACTTGTGATGGCAACAAACCCCACTGTTTTAACAAGGAAAGCAGTCCCCAGCTGTGTTCTCTGAGCTCAGGAGTGCTGCTCCTTTTACTTTAGACCTATGCACATGTGACCTAGCATCTGCCCTCCCTCTGGCTTGCTCCTCTGCTCGTGACCTGACCTGCATCATTTTTTTTTTTTTTTTTTTTTTTTTTTTTTTTTTTTTTTTTTTGGCTTAGAATAGTTCTTGCTGAGTTCGGTCTTCTCTTTCCAGCTGCATCATTACATTTTAGATTGTAGTGTGTAGTAAAGGTGTGTATATTTTTAAAAGATGTTTGGTTTAATTACTGTTCCAGTCACAGAAATCTTTCCAAATTGAAGCCACATTATATTTATAAACCCCAGGGTACCTATAAGTACCACTTTTGGAGGAGAAAAGCTAGCTCCCAACCTAATGAATGTACCCTCCCCACTTGTTCCTGATGGTTGACCAGATAGTCCCTACAACAGCTGAATCCTCCCTAGCGATTCAAGCAAGGGTACTATTGATATATCTTAATTTGCTAGCATTTCCGTTCATGGTAAATTTCACCCAGCCTCAAGACTAGATACACAGACAGCCTATCATTTTGTAAAATTAGATTATTGTCTATGTGTTTCCTGTAATAACTGAGGAATATTTAAAGTCCCAAATGCAAAGGACATATTTCAAGTTATTTATTTATTTTGCAATGTAACATCCTTCTGCTTAATAAATCAAGCCTCTTTGAAGTTAACTCAAGGCTTTTGTTTTCGTGTGTGATATATGCATGCTTAGAGGTTCACTTGTGTGCGTGGGTAGGGGGTCAGAGGTTAATATCATATGTCCAACTCTATCTCTTTCCAACTGACTTTTGAGACATGATCCCTCAGTGAACCTGGAACTCAGCAATTAGCAAAGTTGGCTGGCTGTGGACCTCCCTTCTCCAAGGTCTGGGAGACAGGCATTAGTTGCCATGCCCAGAGTTTATAAGGGTACTGGGGATCTCAACTAAGGTTCTCATGTTTACATAATAAGTTCTTTACCCACTGAGCTGTGTCCTTAGCCTTTAGTTCAGGTCTTTAAGACTAACCACCGGCCATAAGTCAAGGGACTGGATAGGATACATGTTTAACTCTACAACTTTGCAGATCTATATTTAAGGACAGGGGTATAGCTTAATTTATAGAATGCCTGCTCTAAGTTCAAGTCCCAGAATTGCACAAGACACTGTGGTGCTGAATGCCTGTAATCCCAGTCATCAGAGCGAGAAGGAAGCAAGAGAATCACAAATTCAAGGTCATCTTCAGCTACATAGTTTGAGGTCACCCCCAGCTAATTTCACAGAGATGAGACCCCACCACTTCAAACAAGCCTACAAACAAACAACAAAGTTAACATGCTGTCTTTGGAACCTGTATTTTTAACAAAAGTTTGGGTGGTGGTTCTCATCAGGAGGATTTGGGAACTAAATTGCCATGCTATGGCTTATTTGGACTTGGGTGAAGGACTTTAAAGGCCCAAGAAAGGTTTGCTGTTACAGTGTTGGTTTAGGAGGATTTACCCAGACAGATGGAGCTGGGCTAGGCCTCAAAGGCTGAGGTCTGTTTTGCTGAGAGCTAGCCATGACTAGTTCTTCCCTTCCTGCTACACCGTCCTTTGTTGATTTTCCCCAGGAGCATGGAGACTTCTTCTGTTTTTAATCTCCTTTTTCTAGCTCTGACAAAGTAGCCTAGCTTTTAAGGGGACTCAATGTCAGGCTCCCCAGGGAAATTGCCTCATTAGGTTCTCCTGACTAATATGTAAAAATTGCACTCGGCAATGCAAAACTGCAGCGCTCACCTCAAAGAGAGTAAGAGATGATTTGGGGGCCAAATATGACTGGTCATGTGCTGGGAACACAGCCTCGGGCTTCCCCAGATCCCATGTTCCCCCTGGGAAGTGGTTATGTGAGATCTCAATAGTTACAGAATGAAGAAAATCCTTAGTCACATCGGTGGGGACAAGCAGGTGGGTGACTGCAAAGCAGGGACAACTCAGATACAGTTTTAGGTAATATTTGATGAATTTCTTAGCCTTTGGATTTATGAAAGCCAGTGGTTGGTTAAGTTTGTATTGTGAAGCTTTGGTAGTCACAAGGAAGTTAGGTCATACACGGGGATGACAATGACTGATTTTCAAAGGGACACTAAATAGTCCTATAATTTGACTCTCGTCTGCAAGGTTGTATCTTGCCATAGTTAGTCATTTGTGGAATCTTTAAGGCAAAGACAGCATTTCCCTCTTTTCATCATCATGTTTGAGAACTATCACAGTGTGTTTCACTTCTATTGACATAATCACACACACACACACACACACACACACACACACACACACACACACACAAACAGAGACGAAAAAAAACTGTGACTGAGCTGTGCAACACCAGGGAGAAAACTGCAGGCAGAAAATCTTGTGGTCTGAGATTTTTCTGGTATTGGGTGTCAGACAGAATCCACAATTTGGGTGTTTTAGGTGCAAACTGGAAAATGCTTTTCTCCCAGGGAATTAAAGGAAGTGGATATGTAACAGTAATTGTGTTGTTCCCCTTAAGATTAAAATCAGGACATAGAACAAAATGCCCAGTTTCCAAGAAAAGGCCATAAACTGCTGGCAGCCCTTGGCAGTTGATTGGTCAGTCTGCTGAGGTGACGTCTCTCCAGGGTAGGGATTAGCTTGAAACATTAGATAAAACACTATAAACACTTCTCAGATCAATATTTCTGACTTCACTTCTCCCTCCTTTTGTAGGGCAAGTAAAATTAACTGAAGGTGAGGAATAGGTAATGAATAAAGAGGCCCTGCTTCCATAGCAACAGAGAGAAACTGTGCTGGCTTGAAAGGCTACATTTTCAAATTAAGTGGTTTGTGTGTTGTTTTCCATGGCCGAATCTTGGGGGTATGGGGCGGGGGGAGAGTGCACACATGACCATGAGTTTTGTCTACCCTTTCTTCTCTCCATAGATTGGATGTCTTAGTCTCCTATAGCTGTGTAAGCTGGTGTATACAGGAGAGAGGCAGAGATTCTTGGAGTACCTGGTCCTGCCTCTCTCCATCTATACTTGCACATGGTTCTGCTGAAAGCTCTTGTCTTCCTGTGTCTTATAGCTTCCTGATCAGCCATCTTTAAAGTGTTGTTGCTACTTGCAGCATGAAAGGGGTCTCTGAATATTGCTCTCCCTTATAATACAAATCAAGATGTCCGAAAAGGACAATGTGGGTGTGATCGATAAATCATCTCCACAGCAGGTTGCTACCTACCCAGACAGTTTGCAGCTTGCTGGTTGGCATGGAAACCTTTGTGCTCCCTTGTTTTCCCCATTTTGCTAGCTTTTAAGTTTCCAGTTGGTAAGGCACAGTGGCATTTTGTGCCAGAGACCCCTTCCACCCAGTGCCAAGAATATTTTTCATTGAATTGGATGCAACTGCCGCTTCCAAAATGAAACCAAGATTAGTTCTTTTTACTCAGCCCTGTGGGATACTATTCTGATAAATTGGCTTTAAGTCTTGGTTTGAGAAGCACCTGTCTCAGTGAAGGACCAAATTCTTACTTAGCATTGTCAAAACACTGAGAATGTTAAACAACATAATCTTTTTAAAATTTTGTGCTTTGCTAATTAGTTTTGCCTCCCACTTCACCTCGGCACAATTAAGTCTGTATTAGAATGCCTAAAGGCTGGACAGCCTCTCTCTCACAGTGCTGGCTTTTCCTCCACGTTTCTAGTCTACCTTTTGTAACTATCAAGTAAAACCTTTTTTGTTCTTGTTATGTAGTGTTTATTTTTCTAAGTCCATGTGTTTATGTTTATGAGTGTGTGTGTGTGTGTGTGTGTGTGTGTGTGTGTGTGTGTGTGTGTGTGTGTGTAAGTTTGGGCATATGTGTTCCACCACACACCCATGAAGGTTAGAGAGCAACTTACCCGTGTCTGTTCTTTTCTTCTATCATGGGACTCGGAGGTCAAATCCAGGTCCTTAGGCTAGTGAAGCAAGTTCCTTTACCCACAGAGCCATCCTGCTAGCCCTTGTGTGGGCTTTTTGAAACAGGGTCTCACTATATAGCCTTGACTAGTCTAGAATTCACTATATCTACACCCAGGTGAACTTAAAGTTGTGGTAATCCTCCTGTCTCAGTTTTCTGAAGAAAATTCTAAATTTTAAATTAATATGTAAGTGAGATGGCTCAGTAAATAAAAGTACTTGCTATCAAGCCTTATCTCCAGGACTCACACACAGTAGGAGAGGGCCCATTTCCAAAAGCTGAAATCTGAGCAACATTCAGGAGACATGGCAATTGAGTACACACACACATATACACAAACACACACACTTACACATACACCAAATAAAACTACTTTTTAAAGAAAATATCTATGTGTTAATAGACATGTGGTTTTTTTATTATTATTTGAGACAGTGTCTCATGTAGCCCAGGCTAGCCTCATACTTGCTATGTAACAGAGGATGAACTTGGCTGAGTTCCAAGGTCTGGAATTACAGGTATGCAGTACCACCCCTATGTTGTAGAATATTAGTTGAAGATGTGTTACATTTGTTTATGCTGTGGAATATTTGTTTAATGGTGCAAAGATGTGTTGCATTCTTTTATGTTGCGTTTTAACTTTGTAAAGCTATATTACTTTGCCTGTCTAAAACACTTGATGGTCTAATAAAGAGCTGAATGGCAAATAGCTAGGCAGGAGAGAGACTAGGGCTACCAGGCAGGGAGAATAAATAGAAGAAAAAAAAGAGAAGAACAAAGAACGAGAAAAAAGGAGACGAGTATGCAAGGGGTCAGCCACCTAGCTACACAGCCAGCCATGGAGTAAGAAGTAAAGAAAGATATATAGAATATAGAAAGGGGAAAGCCCAGAGGCAAAAAATAGATGGGATAATTTAAGTTAAGAAAATCTGGCAAGAAACAAGCCAAGCTAAGGCTGGGCATTCATAAGAAAGAATAAGCCTCTGTGTGAAATATTTTGGAGCTGAGTGGTGGGCCCCCAAAGAGGAAAGAGGAAAAAAATCCAACTGCATCCTGCTTATTGTTTGTTATTATTTTTTTCTTGTTGGCTTTTGTGACAGGGGCTTGCTGTAGCTTGCATGGGTCTTCCCTTAGCCTCCTGACTGCTGGGGTTACAGATGTGTGTATCACATGCTGGGCTTGCTTTCCAGAATCATTACTTCCACGTCTTATTCTTCTATTTACAAGTTCTGTTAAGTTACACAAGTTAGCTGTCCCCAGTAATGGTTTTTTCAGATGTTAACCAGGATGGACATTGTCTGTTTGCTTCTTGGAGATAAATTAAAAAGCCATGACTTAGGATTCTAAAAGATTTTGGTTCTCATATTTACAATCTGTCATTTCTAAGTAACTACATTTCCCAATTGAATTTTTTTTCCCACAAACCAGATAGAAATTGTGCAGGGCTGAGTCACGAGAAATGAAAACCAAAGACCTGGACTTTCAGAATCCTAATTTATAAAAGTGCCATATGTAAATATATTCAGTGGGGGATTTTAGAAGTTATTTAAATCCTTTTAAATTTGAAAAGTTTACTTTCTTCAAAAACACATGCAGGAACCTTCAAAGTCCTGACAGATCTGAGACAGTTCTTTTTTTTTCAAAGCTGATATTAGATATTTTTAAATACGTAAATGTTTCAAGGAAAACTGCTGTTTCCTTTTGTTAATCGCAGTTAGAAGCCAGGTACAGCTTCCTCTGACCATCCAGCTCTGCCCTGATCTGGGGTTTATGACTACTATGTGACTAAATGTTTCTTCCACTGGAGTCTGTTGCTTGTATAATATCCCGTCTGCTTCCCCATCCTGGGTGAATATTTTTTCTGTTAAGGGTTTCTGTTTTGAGTACACTATGTGGCAAGAGATTGAACTTCTGATTTCTCTGCCTCTGCCTCCCCAGCACCAGGACTGCTGGTATGTTGAACTTCGTTGGCTTATGAAGAGCTGGGGAGAGAAGCCAGCCCCCTGCCAACTGAGCTACATTCCCAACTTGTCTTTGTTTTCTGTCTGGCTATTATTGATCCGGTACAAGCATTACTGGAACACCTCGGCTTATGATCCTTTAAAAAGGAACCTGTACATTGGGAGCATCCCATGTTCAATTCTAGTTGTTGCAAACACTTTTGAGACAAACCCCTGGCCTGTGTTAAGCACTGCATGTTGTAAATTCCCATGTTTCACTGCCTGCCTCTATGTTTACAGTGTGCCCTCACCTCACTATCATATGCAGGGAACTCATTTGAAAGTAAATGTTGATCTGGGTATGACAGTATGCGCATGATTCCAGCGCTGAAGCAGCAGGTCATGGGCTTGAGATTGTTCTGGGCTACCTAGGTAAGACTTGTCTCAAAATCAAAACAAAATAACAAAACACCAAACACACACACACACACACACACACACACACACACACACACGAGAGAGAGAGAGAGAGAGAGAGAGAGAGAGAGAGAGAGAGAGAGAGAGAGAGAGATGAATGTTGAATGACATTCTAATTTTGGTCTAACTTGAAATCAGTTCTACCACCCCTAGCTCTATGGTCTTGGTGGGTTAGTTTCCTTAAACCATGGATTGGCAGATCAAAACCTTTGTGCCAAATTGAGTTCGCAGACTGTTTTTATATGTTCTCTGTTAAGAATAGCTTTTGTAGCTTCCCTCTCCTCCCCTCCCCTCCCCTCCCCTTCATTCCCCTCCTCTCCACTCCTCTCCCCTCCCCTCCCCTCTTCCTTCCCTTTTTTCTTTCTTGAGACAGGGCCTCATGTATTTGTGCTAGCCTTGAACTCACTGTATAGCTGAGGATGACTTCAAATTTCTGGTCCCCAGATTTTACCTCCCCAGTAGCTGAACCCTGTTTTTTTGTTTTTGTTTTTGTTTTTGTTTTTGTTTTTGTTTTCTCTTGTATTCACAAAGTCTCACTTGCTACAGCCACACCCACTTGGGTATCCCCCCAGTCTATGTTCACATTATAGTAGAAAAGCTGGGCATTTGTAACAAGGAGTCAATGGCCCACAGAGACCAACATATTTGTATATTTTTGTTGTTTTGATGCAAAAAAGCTCTACCTATGCTTGTGTTAATCTTAGTCTCCTTTTTATGCTGGGAAATAGTAATATCAAAGGGTATTTAAGAGAATTTGTGAAGAACCACTTAATGCAGTATGAGCATGTAAAAAGCCCCCAGTAAACTGTGTCAGTAAGAGTCATTATCGTCCATCCCAATCACAGAGGAGTAATTCTGCCGGTGGTAGCTCAGCCCAGCAAGCCCAGATTCTCCAGAACTTGAGGGGAAAAGTTCCAGGCCTGGGCCACTAAGTGACTCCAGGTCCACTTGGACAACTTAGTAAAACCCAGTTTTACTAAGAACAGAGACTTGGAATGCAGCTGAGTGACAGAGCCTGGTGTGTGTAAAGACCTCTTGGACTCCTGGTGCAGGGGGAAGTTCTGCTGCACCTGATGTTCCTGAATCTCTGGCCTCCTAGGCAGTGTGGTTTTTCATCACTCCTTTTTCCTTTTCTCTACAGCTCAACTGCTTCTGTCTGTTCTTTTCCATCCCTTGTCTCCCACTTCCATGTGCCCAAGATCAGTCCATCTTCTAGAATCCTCACCATCCTGTCTTCACACATGCTTTATTTTGCATACATTGTGCCATGAAACCCTCTCCTCTGAAAACAACTGTTTTGTGTTTCTTTTTTAGACAGAGTTCCTTGATGTAAGCCAGCTGTCTTTCATTCATGATTTGGGACCAAAGGGCCTGTAAGTTTCAGGGTTGGGTCTTTACAGAGAAGTGTGATGAAGCTGGTGGGTATGAATGCCTGATGCCATAGCTGGTGACAATGATGGGACAGCTAGGCCTTCTTGGGGCTTCTCCCGCCATACTAGAGTGAGATACTCTAGTCTGCAGAGCGCCCCCTGCAGGAAACAGTGGCGGCAGCCCTTTCATCTTCCTGGTATCCTGACAGCACCTCGTGCTAACCCACCAGTGGGAACATTCAGTACACATAGTACTCTCCCAGCGGTGAGTGATCAAATGCAAATACATAAGACACCTTCTCCCAGTCACTTATGCCAGGCATTACAGCTCCTTTAAATGAGGATTTAAAAGTAATATTCGTAAGGAAATTTACTCAGTGGCTCTTTTTCCTTCACAATATTAGGGCTTGCTCCTACAAAGGGCTTACTCTTTTGAATAATATTTTTTATTAGTTTTAGTTATGTGTCCATGTATGTTTGTGTGGGTATATACACACAAGTACAGGTGCCTCTACAGAGTTCAGACGAGGGTGTCTGATGACTGTGAGTTGGGTGACTGTGAGCCCAAGGATGTGGGTGCTGGTCCTCCAAAAGAGTACTGGATGTTCTTACCCACTAAGCCATTGCTCCAGCCCCAGAGCTTACACTCCAATTTTAGTTAAGCGCAATGCTGGTAGCCATTTCAAAATTATTTTCTCAAGTTGTTGTTGTTGCACATTTTTCAAAATCAAGACATTAGGTTTGCTTTTTGTTTTTGTTTTTGTTGTTTGAGACAGGGTCTCATATAGCCCAGGCTGGCCTAGAACTCTTTTATGTAGCTGAGGATGACCTTGAACTACTGAATCTCCTGTCTCTACCACCCAAATGCCAGGACGATAGGCACATGCTACCATACCCAGCTAAAAAGATCAGCACTTCATAGCCAGTAGCTTTGGTCTACTTTCTTCATATGGCTTGATTGATAGAATTGTGTGTGAAGCCAGACTCTGGAGGGGGGCAAACCCCATCTCAGCTGCAGTCACGGTGGCTGTCCCACTCACCATCTCTGCTGCAGTCACAGTGACTATCCTACTCCCCAGCTCAGCTGCAGCCATAGTGGCTGCAGGGACGGTTTAGCCTTAAGATACAGAAGCCAGGGTGCAAAGATTCTACATCGTGTCCGATAGATTCACTGGCCCATGAATGCTAAAAGGGTTACATTTGGCCACAGTGCTTGTAAGAGTCTACTGTTGTGCCCAGGCTGATAAAGAGAGCAGTGAGCAAGTGGAGAGTCAAGGAGGGGGAGAGGAGAGGGGAGTAATATGAGAGATGTTTTATACAGTCCCGGGCTGTGAAGCTGAGCAAGGCAAGTGGGAACTGTAAATGTGAACTTGATGGCTTAATGTGATGTCTCCTTCAGGGAGGGGATGATCATGAAAAGATCTGGGGGACACAGGATACCAGGTTTGAATTGCTGTGGCCAAGGAAGAGCCTGCTACCGATGGTCAAAAAGGTAGGACTTGGGAGTTTTATGTATTTGGTTGAATAAACTGATCATTTAGGTGTTTATAAACTAGCTTTGCTTGTTTGTAGCCTAGTCTGGACTCAGCCATTATGTCTTACATGAACCTTGAACTCCTGGTTGCAGCAGTACTTTCTTGTTGGGACCATCAGGTCACCAACAATAACACGAGGACTTATTATTAATTATGAATGCTTGACCTTAGCTTAGGCTTGTTCCTAACTAGTTCTTATAACTTAAATTAACCCATATTTTTAACCTATGCTCTGGTACATGGTTCGTTACCTCATCTTCATATTGCCCAACCATCTTCTTCTCTGTCTGGCTGGCAATTCCACCTTTCTTCTTCCCAGAGTTCTCTCTCTGCCTAGAAGTCCCACCTATACCTCCTGCCTAGTTATTGACTGTTCAGCTTTTTGTTACACCAATCACAGTAGTACATATTCACACAGTGCACAAATATTTCCCAACACCTGGGCTCCTTCCTTCACTTCCTAAGTGGGGCATTACAGATGTTTACTGGCATGACCAGCTCTCAAATGTGACCTTGCATCTCCTTAGACTATAAGCAATGGTATAGGAAAGCCAGAGACTCCCACATGAGCTGTCTTCTTACCCTCAACTGTACAGAACCTTGGGCAGAGGCTAAGGTACATGGAGTTTGTTAGATGTTGTAACAGTAGCAGAGGAAGACAGAAAGAAAGAGCAGTGAAGGGAGCTCCAGAGGATCATGGGTAACACAAGCTCGCCATGCGAGGATGAAGTTGCAGGACTTAGCGGTCACCAGGGCTTCCCTTCTCCAATGGTGGCCTCTCCTGGAGGTGGGTTTCCCAGCCTCCTGTGGCTCTGCTGGCCTCTCCTCCCCCTTTTCCTTAGTCATCTGCTGTGTGGTAGCCATAGCTTTCTACACTTAAGCTTTAAACCCCAGGGATTTTTTTTTCTTCCCGGAGACTTTGGCCTGCTAGAGTTCTGCAGCCTGTGAGCAGACCAGACTAGAAGAGTCAGTGGAGTCATCAGTGGTCAGCACCACCTTGTTGGAATGAGTCAGACATGCCAGTAGCTAATGATTGAAGGTATCAGTATCAGTCAATTCTGAGCAATGACAGTGGGTGTGCTGTCCTTCCTTCCTTCCTTCCTTCCTTCCTTCCTTCCTTCCTTCCTTCCTTCCTCTTTCTTTCCTTCTTTCCTTCCTTCCTTCCTTCCTTCCTTCTTTCTTTCTTTCTTTTTTCTTTCTTTCTTTCCTTCTTGAGCCTCAAATTGAAATACTCTACATGATCCCAACATCATACATTGGATACAAATACTATGTTCATATAGCAGGAGGATTCAACATTTAAGATAAGTCCACACATGAATTCTTACTGAGGAAAATGAGGTCTTATGTAAGTGGAGAGGTGGCATGGATTTAAGTAGTGATGGGGTGACATGGGGAGGACCCAGGCACTGTGGTGGCAAGGGATCTGGGGTTGCAGCATTGACTCAGCCCCAAGAGCCCCATCGAAGGTCCCAAGGATACAGTTCTGAGCTCTATCCCCTGGAGGAGGGCTGACCACAGATGGTAGGGGAAGATTTTGTTACTGATGTATACTTGGGGAGGAATCATGTTTCATTCAAAAGAACTATGATTCTACCTGGAAGGGAATTTTGTCTTTTTAAATTTGGTAAATGTTTGGGTAGAGACTATAGCCTCAACTCCATATTTGCATGTTCTGCATCACAGCTGATGAACCTCAGGTATCAGACATCATAAATAGATGATAGTGTTCAGAGGACAGTTAGTGGGGCAATCTTCCATATGGCTTGACTGGTGTTTAGAGGTAATAGTTACTTCTAAAGGTGACATTTATTCACAATGCTTAGGTTTAGATTTTTAGACTTCTTGGCTGGCCATGGTTGTGCTTGCCTTTAACTCCAGCACTGGAAGTGGATTGAACTTTACAACAGTCCCCCTGCTTTGGCCTCCCAAGTGTTGAGATTATAGGTGTCAGCCACCATACACTGCTGAGACCTTATCTTTCTTCCCCTTTCTTTCTTTCTTTCTTTCTTTCTTTCTTTCTTTCTTTCTTTCTTTCTTTCTTTCGGCTCAGTTCCATTTTAGTGTGCTGTCTGTCCCTCTAGGTGCATTTACCTTTGTGGTTTGCCCCAACCTTGATCATTTTCCTTTTAGTAACTTAATCATATATTCATCCTTTACTGTAGGCTGTAGTTGGCTGTTTTTTACTCTTACCCTTTGAGGGAGGGGCTCACACCCAACTTCCAAAGAATCACAAGACTTATTCTTACTTATGAATGCCTGACCTTAGCTTGGCTTATTTCTAGCCAGCTCTTCTAACTTAAATTATCCTATTTACCTTTTGCCCCTGGGCTTTTCCCTTTCTCTACTCTATATACCTTTCTTTACTTCTTATTCTATGGCTTGCTGTGTAGCTGGCCCCTGGTGTCCTCTTCCCTTCTTTTTCTCCTGTTTCTTGCTCCTCCCTCTTCTCCTTCTATTTATCCTCTCTCTTGCCTTGACATTGGCTGTTCGGCTCTTTATTAGACTGATCAGGTGTTTCAGAAAGGCAAAGTAACACAGCTTCACAGAGTTAAACAAATGCAACATAAAAGAATGCAACACATCTTTGCATTATTAAACAAATGTTCCACAGCATAATCAAATTTAATACATCTTCAACTAATAGTCCCCAACAGTAGGCTACTTGCTCTATCTCCATGTTCCAATCAGGAAAGAGGCAGCCTACAGGAGAAGCCAAATGAATGCAACAAGACTATGTAGAAGTCAATGTAGATTTGTCTACATTGCCTCTACTCATAAAGCCCACTGAAGTACACCATGGCTAGTAGTTTTAGTAAAGAACTGTTCTAGATTTCTTTTACATTTATTTATTTACTTATTTGGGCGGGGGAGGGGATGTGGTCTTCAGCTTTCAGTCCCTCACTGTGGTCTTAGCTCATGTCCTGCTGTCATTGTACACATACTGTCCTCAAACTCGAAGTGTTTCTTCACTTCAGTATCTCTGCTGTCTCTCTACTAACCAGGATGACCTTGACCCTGCTCCACTTGTTGGGCTCCTTCCTACCTAGTTCTTTGCAGCCAATACCAAGATGCTCCTCCTGCCCCCATCACCCATTTATCCAAGAAGGATCCTGGCTTCTACCTCCATGGGACTCACCAACTCCTCTGGGAACAAATATTTGCATGTTTTCTATTTGGGCTGCATTTACGCTATACCCACTTTGCCACTCTACTTCATCATGAATGAAGCTTTTGGGTATTGAACTAAATGAAGCAGTTTTGAGAGCTACTTCTGTTCTGTTGAACACCATTCATTAATGATCCTTATGCCAGAAATATTTTTGAATGAACAGCAGAATTGTGGAGTATTGGATGTAGTTAAGTTTTCTAGACTCAGTTGCCTAAATGATAGTTTGTGTGAGCAAACTCCACCCTGTTCCATTCTTCAGTAAGGGGCTCTTCAGTGTTTCCTGTCAAAACTGGGATGTTCTTCCAAGAATGAATGAATTCTTTTTAATTGCCTGGTGTCCACACACAGAGAAGGGAAACCCACAGACCTGTTTTTGTAGTAACTACTCTCCCCCATGGGAATCAGACCCAGTACCCTGTGCGTGCTAGGCAAGCACTGTGCCATTGGCCCACGTCTCTAGCTCTTGCTTCATGGTGATCTTTAAAAGGCACCACCAGGTGAGACATGACATTAAGACTTGAGTAACAAGCTGGACGTTGGTGACACATGCCTTTAATCCCAGCACTCGGCAGTCGGATCTCTGTGAGTTCAAGAACAGCCTGGTCTACAACAGCTAGTTCCAGGATAGCCTCCAAAGCCACAGAGAAACACTGTCTCAAAAAACCAGAAAAAAAAAGGACTTTAGTAACAGTTGATTCTCTCACTTCAGTTATTCAGCTTTGAAACCTCCTGTTGTCTCCTACCAGGTGGTTAATAGTGAAAGACTCTTTCCTGCTGTACATGAAACCAGACAGTGGGGCCATTGCCTTTGTCCTCCTTGTAGATAAAGAATTCAGAATAAAAGTGGGAAGGAAAGAAACAGAAACGAAATATGGACTTCGAATCGATAATCTTTCAAGGTAAATCTTTCTAATGTTTAAAACATATTTCTCCCCATTTCTCTAAGGCCAAAATTTTCTCTCACCCATGAAAAATGTTAAAAGAGTTAAATATTTATGATTGTTGCTTGAAGTTCATCTTCTATCAGAAGTAATGGAACTTACCTTCGCCTGTGTGTGTGTGTGTGTGTGGTGTGTGTGTGTGTGTGGTGTGTGTGTGTGTGTGTGTGTGTGTGTGTGTGTGTGTGTGTGTGTGTGTGTGTGTGAATTAATATAGGTGCCTGCAGAGATTAGAAGAGGACATTGGATCCCCTGGAGCTGGAGAACAAAGTTTGCCAACCTATTTACCAGTTTGTTGAATGAATTAATTGGTAGTTGGCATTTTTTAAGTAATACAAATTAATATATTTTGTTAATGAACATCTTTAGAGTTATTTGATCTACAAAATTTTGTCTGAACACAGATTTTGAGAAATATAACTTGAAAGATGGTGAAATGTTCATGTGCTATATATTTTATTAATGATCACATTGTGTGTTGATGTAGGTTTCTTTCTAGCAGACTGTAATCATACCTTGAAAAAGTGTGTGTGTGTGTATAGTCACTCTCATTCATATGAATACTCATAATTTCTCTTTGCACAGTTGCAACAGATATGTATATCTCTCCTAACACATGTGTGTGCAGCCATGTGTGCTGGCATGATGCTTGGATGTGTGCATGTATGTAATGTGATGTGGGGTAAAACAATATGGAGCTTCCTACTTCTCTCTCAGAGGTAGCTTTCAGGAATGTTACTGAAATGCCTGTTTTGTTAGCTTCCTCATCTCCACTCCCCACACCAAGTGGAACTGTTTAAATCTAGGGTTCTTCAGTCTCCTTCTAGGCAGAGGTGCTCCTTGTCATTTTTTTAGCTGACAAGACCAGCTTCTCCATTTACTTAGGGCTATTTCTCTCCGTGTTTTATTTGTGAGTGTCCTTCCTACAGCCTTTTGGTTCTGTGTTGGCAGTTCTCTTTACAATCCCTTCGCACACATTTATTTTTGTTTTGCCTCCTCCCTCTTGCTCCATCTATTATTTATTCATCCACTTATTTGTGTATATGTGTGAGTCAGTCCTTTCCTTCCACTGTGTGGATCTCAGTGATTGAACTCCCTTCATCAAGCTTGGTGGCAGGTATGTCTACCCACTGAGCCATCTCACTGGCCCTCCTATCTTTAAAAAAGATTTTATTATTATTATATGCATGTGTGTGGTATATGTGTGAATGGGGGTGCATGAGTGCAATATCATACATGCGGAAGTCACAGAGAATCTTTGTGAAGTTTCTTCTATCTTTACATGGGTCCCAGGGATGGCGTTTAGGTCATCAGGCTTGTCCTGCAGCGCTTTTGTCTGCTGAGCTATCTGGCTGGGCCTCGTTCTATTTCTATGCTTGGAATAGTTTTCCCTCCTCCACCACTAGGTCTCTGTCTGATACTCATCTCTCCCACACAAACATCTTCCCAGAACAGGTTTGCCCCAGGGGTAGGTTGACCCCAGGCAATGTCTGAGCCCTCTTGCTCCTGTATGGCTGCATTGTTACACCTATTGGGGATGCTTCTCTCCCACCCCACCCCTCTCGCCTACCTATCCCCACACTGCACCAGCCCTTCTGTTGGACAATGGCTTTCCAAGGCCAGACTCCATCTGTGAAGTATTGAGAGAAGCTGTTTGGACACTTTTGATCTTTATAAATAATGAATTATAGAATCTGTGCTTATGGCCCCTTCCTTGTTTTCCACAAGAACTGTTGTACACCCCCTTCCCGGCAACACAAACAAAAGCAAAGCTCTGCCTTCTCACCCTGTTCCATCTATCAGCATGGCATAGGGCAGCTAGTGCCAGTGCCTTGTCCTTTGAACTTCAGTTCTTGGTAACTTATTTTCACTCTTGGTAATAGCCATTCATTCTGACACTTGGGATAAAGTTTTTTTTTTTTTTCCTGTAAACCACCAGAATTTATTCTCAATGTTTTTAATTCTGTAATGAGTTAAGATAGCTTGCTCCAGTGATAGAAAAACCTAATGCAAACTGGCTTATTGCAGAGCAAACTGGTTAGTCATGTTGGGTGATTAATTCTCAAGCTCAACTATACCATTAAGACATATTTTCTAGGTTTTCTTAGCTGTGGAATCTGCCTCATCCTCAGACTAGTCTTCTTGCTGCAAGATGACTGCTCACCACCCTCACTGCACACCCAGTGGGAAGGAGGGCTTCCTTTTCTCACTGCTGGGTTCTCAGATCTGCTCTCATGGGGAGGGGCTGCCTTTTATGCCCTTACCCCAGCCCACTAGCACTAGAGTAGTAGGGGATGCTACTGCTTTGCATAGCTTTGCTGGATTCCAAGAAGAAGGAGATCTCCCCTAAGACAGCAGAAGCCAGGGTAGTCAGTGCAAAGAGAACTGTGTTAGAGGAACCAGCAACTCCGACAGAAATGTAACCTCACAACCCTCCTCATCTCCTGGTGTAGTTCAGGGTCTACTTCAACTCAATTCCTGTGTGTCTGTGTACTTGCCTGAGCAGGGAGCCAGACAAGAAAGTTATGATCCACTCTACCCAGGTGTTTTAGAAACTTGTTTTTTCAAATGTTCGTTAACTAGAAACGTCAATTCATGTTCGCTGTGACATTTCATCTTTAGATTTGTTTTAAGAGCTAAAACTCAGAGTAAACCCCCAACACCCACTTTTGCTTTTCCTTATAGGACACTGATTTTAAAATGTAACAGCTACCGCCACGCTCGCTGGTGGGGAGGAGCCATAGAAGAATTCATTCAGAAGCATGGCTCGGACTTCCTCAAAGACCATCGCTTTGGTTCCTATGCCGCTGTCCATGAGAACATGTTAGCTAAATGGTGAGGTGTTTGTCATAATGCTTTAAATTTACCTGAATCAGCCTCAATACTAAACCAGTGATTTACTCGGTGATGTCCCAAGGTCTCTCCTTTCCTAGGCCATTGTAGGGCTGAGGATCATACTTAAAGAAAGGCATGATCACAGGTTAGTCTTTAATTTTGGAATTTGAGCATTTTCAGTGGTGAGCTTCCCTGCCTTTAGATTTTGAAGTTTGACTTCTTTTGTGAGATAGATTCTAGTGAAGCCCAGGTGGACCTTGAACTTGCCACATAGGCAAAAATGATCTTGAGCTCCTCCTGATCCTCCTGCCTCACCTCTCATGTACTGTGATTGCAAGCCTGCCTGCACCACTGTGCCTAGATAGAAATCTGATTTTTAAAATCAACTTCAGGGCTGGGTACATAGTGCAGTTAGACAGTACATACTTAGCATGCATGAATCCCTGGTTGGATCCCTACTACCTCAAAAAACCAGACATGGTGGCACGGGTTTGTAATCCCAGCAACTGAGAAGTGGAAGCAAGCAGATCGTTAGTTTAAGGTCAGGTTTGGCTCCATGAGTCAGAGGCTCAGCTAGCTACCTGAGACCCAATCCTAAAAAAGAAAAGTAAAATGTCACTTCACATATCTCTGAAAGGTACAATGTGAGTTTAGTTAAATCATTTATGTTTTCCACCAATGGATTTGAGCTGGTCTGTTTTTAGGCTCAGATGAAAACCCCATTTGATAAGGCGGCTCTCTCAGAGTGATTGACATGCTGTCCTCCAAACAAAGATTGCTTGGGTCAGTATCCAAACTGCCTTCCAGGTAATAGACGGAGGCAAGACCATGTTTGCAATCTTGTTTCCAGTTATTCAAAGGAAAATGGTGGTAATCTAGATCAGACAGGCAGAGCCCTCTATGCTTTGCCTTAGCCTAGTATTGTTTGCTTTTATTTTTGTCTTGTTTTATAAAAATAATTATAAAAATAACATCAAAAGAAACCCAGGAACAAACCCTCTATCTTCCAGGTACGTGAACGCCAAAGGTTACTTTGAAGATATTGCAAATGCAATGGAAGAGGCGGCAGAAGAGATTTTCATCACTGATTGGTGGTTAGTATCTGTCCAGGAGAATGCTGTATGGAAGCCTCTGTTTATAAGTGTGTTATTGGAGAATTCCACACTATGGAAACCAGTAGCTATGATAGCTTGGCCAAGCCTCAACCAACTAGGTAGTAGACTGCAGCAGAAGACTTTTCCAAAATTGTCCTTCAAATGTTATATTGGTCACATTTCTAATTGCTGTGACAGAAATAACATAGGGGAAGGGCTTGTCTTGGCTCACAGTTTGAGTCCATCATGGTGGCAGGCATATGAGAGCTGTCACTTTGGGTGCATGGTCATTAAGCAGAGGGAGATGAACCCCTGTGTTCTGCGCACATTCTCCTTTTTATTCAGTCTGGGATGCCAACCCATAGATGATGCTCTCCGTATTTAGGACAAATCTTCTCACTTCAGTTACCCCAATGTAAATACTCCCTCATGGACCTGCCCAGAGCTTAGTTTCCAAGGTGACTTAGATTCTGTTAAGTGGACAACCAATGTTAACTATTGCAAATATCTCCTTAAAGTATTTAACTTGATTTGGTTTTGGATGCAAATATTTGTGTAGATATGCGACATGCAAGTGTGGCTGTGGAGACGGGAAGCCCATCCTCTCTAGCTGTCTTTTCATCTCCTACCATGCCCTTTCGCTCGATCCAGGGAACAGCTCCTGAACTTTCCCTTTGAAACTGAAATAGTTACTCTTGTTAATACTGTTGAAAGGACTAGGTCTGGGCAGCTCTTCTGGCCTTGCAGTGTACTTTAACTGTCTAGTCCGTTGTGAAAACCATCATGGAGTCATGATTTTCATGTTACCTAAGTCACTGGAAATCTCATATCTAAAGCTCATTAGTTCTTGGGGAGTGCAACCTGTGGAGTTGGTATTGGCTTTGTATTTGTAGTCTGTCTTCAGTTCTGAGTATCCACTATCTTAAAATGTTGAAGCCCATCACAGATGCCAACACTGGCTAAGATGGAGATGAAAATAACTTGGAATATGTTCCCTCCTAGGAACTGAAATGAATATCTTTTTTCTTTTAATTAGAAAGACGATTATTTTACATGTCAATCCCAGATCCCTCTCCTTCCCCTCCTCCCCATGCCCCCCAACTAACACCCTACCTATCTCATACCCTTTCTGCTCCCCAGGGAAGGTGAAGCCTTCCATAGGGGGTCTTTAGAGTCTGTCATATTCTTTGGGATAGGGACTAGGCCCACCCTCTTGTGTCTAGGCTCAGGGAGTATCCCTCCATGTGGGATGGGCTCCCAAACTCCATTCCTATGCTAGGGATAAGTACTGATCCACTACAAGGGACCCCATAGATTTCCGAGGTCTCCTCACTGACACCCACATTCAGGGGGTATGGATTAGTCCCATGCTGGTTTCCTAACTATCAGTCTGGGAACCAAGAGCTCTCCCTTGTTCAGGTCAGGTGTTTCTGTGGGAATCACCAGCCTGGTCTGGACCCCTTTGCTCATCACTCTTCCTTCTCTGCAACTGGATTTCAGTTCAGTTCAAGGTTTAACTGTGAGTGTCTGCTTCTACTTCCATCAGCTGCTGGATGAATTTTAGACATAGAGCAAAGGATTTCTAGCAGGAACCTATGTGACTTCTCCTCTACCTTCTGAAGGAGAGTGAATTAGGTGCCATTTGTTCCTGCAGCAGCCCTGGGCCCGCATCTTACCACAGCACACATTTTGAAATGAAGCCTCTACTGTGACCATTATTCCAGAGTGCATGCAACCGCCCCTTGTGGTTATGTATTTATGTATTTATTAATCAGCAATTTCTTTAAACAATGAGCATGTTCTCATGTACTTTGGGGGCACTTGTTTACTTTTTAGAGACACCCCTCCTTTCCTACTCCCCCTCCTCACTTGCTTTCCCTCCCCCATAGCCCTTTTTTCTCTGCAGGTCTGGGGAATTCCTTCTGGATCTGGATGTCTTCATTGTCCATTGTCAGGATCTTTTTTTTTAAGTTTCTTTTCTTTTTTAAATATTTTATTTATTTATTTATTATTTATTATGTATACGACATTCTGCTTCCATGTATATCTGCACACCAGAAGAGGGCCCCAGATCTCATAACGGATGGTTGTAAACCACCATGTGGTTGCTGGGAATTGAACTCAGGACCTCTGGAAGAGCAGCCAGTGCTCTTAACCTCTGAGCCATCTCTCCAGCCCCATTGTCAGGATCTTTATGCATTCTGGTTAAACAGTGCTTCTGAGGAGAAATTTTTTAGCAATATACTATTTTTCTCTTTAGTGCGTTCAAAAATTTCCACTGTTTGGTTTCAGCAGTTTGGTTATGATTTGGGGTTTATCCTGTTTGGTACCCTGAGGTTCTTCAATTTATTGTCTTATGCATCTAGCCAAATTTGAGAAGGTCTTCCCACTGTTTCTTCAGATATAAAAAGTCCTCTTCCAAAGCTTCCAGTTCTCAGACTCTCCTTCATGTCATCTCACAGTCTCCAAGGCTAGCTTCATATTTTTAAATATTTTCCCTCTTGGTTGTTGTATTGGATAATTGTTTTTAATTGATATTGATTACTTATTATGTGTGCATGTGTAGGTTTGTGTATGTACATGCATGTGCCACAGCCATCACATGTAGAGGTCAGAGGACAATGTGTGGGAGTCACTCCTCTCTTTTCACCATTCAGGTGCCAGGCCTCAATTGGGGGTCATCAGGCTTGATGGCAAGCATGGTACCCACTGAGCCACCTCCCCAGCCTCTGGGCTTGATAATTTCTATTTAGCTACCTTCATAAACCTTCATTCTATTATTGAGCTTAGGAAGCGAAGTTTGGTACTTTTATTTTTCCTGTTTTTGTGGTGATTGTATTTCTATTTCAGAATTTTCTGATTCTGGATATCTTCTGTTTCTCTGAGGTGTTTTCTCTTCCCATTCATCCTGATGTATAGTTGCATTTTTATAATATCTCATAAGGGATTAAACTAGATAACCATCCCAGTGAGATGGCTCAGTAGGTAAAGGCACTTGCCACTGCCATGCCTGATGACCCAAGATCCAGTCCTAGAACTCCATGGCTCAATGGGAAAACTAACTCCTACGAATTGTCCTCTGAGCTCCAAATGTGCAGTGCACCCCCCCAACCCGCCCTGCCCAAATAAATAAACAGATATGGTTTTATGGTTTTTAAACATATGTAAATAGTGATAATCTCATACAAGTTGATTTTTTTGTTGCTGTATGCCCACTATTTTTTAAAAATTGTATTCTAGAAAATTTAACATAATGATGTTAAGACTTTTCTTACTTAAATCTGTGGATAGTTTTCTCTTTTTGCTTTTTGTTTTTGTTTTTTGTTTTTTTTTGTTTTTGTTTTGAGACAGGTTTCTCCGTTTAACAGCCCTGGCTGTCCTGGAACTTGCTCTGTAGACCAGGATGGCCTCAAAACTCAGAGATTCTCCTGTCTTTGCTTCCAGCATGCTGGGATTGAAGGCATGTGACAATACCACTAGAAAATTGCATTTTCTAGAATGAAATTTAAAAAACATACAGCAACAACAACAAAAATCAACTTTTGTGAAATAAATACCACTGGCTTCTTTTTTTTTTTTTTCCTTAGTAAGCCATGGCCTCATTTGGGTTAGGCAGAAAGCTCCAAGCAACATTTGGGGTGCTTAACAATTTCTTTTAGCTTTATTTACTTCATTTTTGTGTGTATGAGTGTTTGCTGGTGTGTGTGTGTGTGTGTGTGTGTGTGTGTGTACTGTGTGCTGGCTGAAGGCAGAAGAGGGTGTCAGATTTCGTGGGATGGAGTTATGGGTGGCTGTGAGCTATCATATGAGTGCTGGGAAATGAACCTGGGTCCTCCACAAGAGCAACAAGTCCCCTTAACTCCCTCTCCATCTCTCCATCCTATAGGGGTGGAGTTTTAATGCCAGTTTTCCAAAGCCTTTGCTCTGCTGTTGTCTGCTCTATATAATGTCTGCCACCTGGTGGTCGATCTGTGGCATGGCCGCAATCAATCTGTTAATTCCTCAAACTCCTTAGATGGATTTTGCTGTGGTTAAATCTCCACAGGGACAACTTATGAAAGAGCCAGGAGACCATAGACAGCTTCACGGCACAGTTTTCCTGAGCTCTCCCCTCTCCACGGTCGCCCAACTGTTTTCTAATTCTTCACAGCTTCCATTATAAGTGCACACTCTGGAAATGGGGGTTTTGACTTACCCAGCTTGGACATGTGACCCTGAAACAGTGCCAACATAAGGAGCTGTTGTCACCCTCTTGGGATCAGTTCTGCTCTGATTGGAATCATCTCTTCCGTGGGCTCTGGGCTGCTGCCCTGGCCTCTTCAGGCAATCCTGTTCTTTCTTGTCAAGATGCAACTAGGGTTCCCTGTGCTAATCCATTTTGGAGGTTTTTCTTCAGACTAAATAACCAATAAGCTGATTACATGAGCTGTAAATCCTTTTGCTGCCCTTCACTGAACCTTTCAATTAACAAGTATTGCAGTTCATTTAAATTTTTTAATAGTGTTTTGTACTGATCTGCATAGAGAGCTTTATAAAATTGTCGAGGCCCGGCTTGTCTCAGCTTTAACCCACGACAGAGGTTCTGCCTAAGTGGGGGTGTGTGAACCTGGAAGCTTCTTGGAATGCAACGATGATAAAGACCAAACACAGGCATCTTGTCATCTTCAGAGAGCTCTCAGTTCCATGTTTTGGAACTAGAGCTATTTGTTTATTAGCCATCTTTTCTGATGTCCTTTAACATCCTGCTAACACTACGAGGCAGCCATTTCTCTCTTGTTCTCTCTCTCCGCTTCGCTCCTAACCTTCTCTGCTCCCGTGTTACTCCCATACCACCAGCACCTCCGCCCAGGTGAGGGCCTATTCAGATGCTTAGGCACATACTGATGCAAATAAGAGGCATATTACCCTCAGGCCAGGTAAACAGTTACAGCCTGGTGTTAATTAACAAGCCACCGCTATTTATGTGGTCAGGGCCTGGAACCCAGAATATTCCATAACAGGGATATTCGGTCCCCCACATAAAATTGTGTGTTATGCATGTATATGCATGTGTGTACATGAGCCACAGCACCCACGTGGAGGACAGACGACAACTTGCAGGACTTGGTTCTCTTCTACCATGCAGGTCCTTGGGATGGAACTCAGGTTTTCAGGCTTAGAACTTTCACTCACTGAGCCATCTCACCCTCACCAACCTCTGTAGGAGTCCTATAGGTACAAGTTGATAAGTTTCTTAGTAAGCACTTCAGTTTTTTTAAAGTATTTATTTTTATTTTATGTGCATTGGTGTTTTGCCTGCATGTGTGTCTGTGTGAGAGTGTCAGATCCCCTAGAATTGGAGTTACAGTCAGGAGTAAGCTGCATGTGGGTGCCGGAAACTGAACCCTGGCCCTCTGGAAAAGCAGCCAGTGCCTTTAACCTCTGAGATTTCTCTAGCCTGCGCTTGACTTTATATCTTATAACAGTGTTAAATTCACTTAGTGCTTGTAAACTTTCTGTAGATTTTTTGGGATTCATGACATCCATGAATGAAATTTATTTAGCCTCTGCCTTTCAAATTAGTTTGATTTATATTTTGTTTTCCTACCTTATTGTATTGCTAGAGTTTTGAATGTAAATGGATATTGAATTTTGTTTATTTTCTCTGCATGTTTTGTTCTGGTTTTAATTTTTCTTCCTTTTTCCCAACTAATGTGAATTACATTGTTTTTCAACTGTTAAAAATAATTTTCTTTTAATTTTAAGGCAGAAAGTGTTTTTAATTTTTTAGAAGAATTTGAAGGTTTTATTTTCAAGTATTGTTAGACCCCCGGAAAACTCAAGTATCCAGGGTCCCAGACCACGACTGCGGTCACCCCAATCACCAGGCAGATTCGAGAGCTTGCTGCAAACTGCATGAGGCTTTATTGTAATTTAACAAGCTAACCCCATGCTAGCTCGGGTCTTTCACCCACCCGCCATGGTGGATGGCTCACAAAAGACAGCTCCTAGGGGCTCCCGGGGGATCTTGGACAGCGTAAGGGGAGTGTCTAGGGGTATATAGGACACAGGCTCAGGATTGGTGTGCCTCCAGGCTTGGAGGGCTTGATTGGCCAACTGGTTGTTATGGCCCATGGACCCTCCCAGGGTGGTTGCTATGCTTTGTGCATCATTGCTGTGGGCTTGTCCGTAAAGCACACCCAGGGTCGTAAAGCATAGCGCCACCAGCTAACTTCTGATTGGTTCCTTGTTACGAGGCAGGCATCTGACTTTCTAGTGTCTAGGACAAGGTCATAGAAGCACGTGTTGGGCCTTTATGGCTGCCGAAAGGGAAGCTGGTCTCTTCATTATATATATTTTCTCTTGAGAATTTTGTTTTTTGAGACAGGGTTCCTCTTGTAGACTTGGAGCCTGTTCTGGAGCTCACTCTGTAGACCAGGCTACCCTTTAACTCACAGAGAATCCACCTGCCTCTGCCTACCGAGTGCTGGGATTAAAGGCATGTGCTCTTGAGAATTTTATACATGTTCACAAAGTAATTACTATATGCCCCTCCATTTCATCTCAACCCCACCCCCCATCGTGTCCTACTCTAAACTTCATGTCCACTAAGTATCTGTCTGCGTGTGGATGTGGGGTTACCCACTGGAACTTGGCCAACCTTCTGGGGACCACACCCCTAAAGAAAACGGGCTTTCCCCACAGCCAGCAGCTGCCTGCAGCTGGAGGCAAGCTTTTGATCCCCACCCCTATGAAACTTTAACTGGCTTGATATTGTGCAGATGACCAGAGCGTGTGAGCTCATGGTGCTGTAGTCTGTCTGTCCAGGGAACACTTCCACAGCAGGTATGGCTCTTTCCGCCCACAGAAGCTGTTCATGTTTTTAATGGATGCAACAGTCCATATATATATGCTTTTCCTCAAGTAGAGGACCTCTTGGAGGTTCTCCTGCTCCACCAGGCTCCCATTTTGGGGAAACCTCATTACAGAAGAGTTATATTGGATAGAGATTGTGCTTGAGTTGCCTTTAGACCCCAGTAAAGCAGTTGGGGGAAGTGTGACTCTGGGGGGTATTCTTAACTGCCTGTAGCTGGACTTACTAAGGGAAAAGAGGCCAGGGGTAACTTTTACCTTCTCAGAATTTAATAATTTTGGTGTTCCTAATCAGAGAGCCCCAGTTCCCACAGACACTGCCTTTATAATTGGAAGTCACTGTGTGTACAATTGTGTCAGTTAGAGGCCTCTCAGCTAGCTGTAGTTGAATGCCCATTTTAAGAGGGCTTTGTCTCATTTAATGAGATACCCAAAGTTGAGCAATCCTGAGGTTGGGGAAATGGCCTAGAAATTTCAGGGTTCTTGTTATCCCCTTAGTATTTAGCTGTGTCTAGACCCCTCTAAGCATTTTGCCCACACAGCACCCATCCTACAGCTACAAACATGGGCCGTCCTTTTTTTTCTGATGTGTGTGTGTGTGTGTGTGTGTGTGTGTGTGTGTGTGTGTTCCATCAAGGGGGAAACTTTCTCATTAACTCCATTTACCTTGTCAAATATCTCATTGTCTGGGATCAAGTCAGCTCTAGCTGCAGAAACATAGAGTATGTAAATTGAGTAGTGGAAGGTGGCTATGACAGCAAAGAAGGAAATGGTAGAGAAATTGGGTGGATAGTCACTAATATCTCTCCTGCCCTTCTCTCCTCTCTCTGTTCTCTTCTCTTCCATGTGTGTGAGACAGGATCTCATGTATCCCAGCGTGGCATAGGGGCTCGTGTAGCCTAGAGTCCTCAAACTCTATGTAATTGAGAGTGGCTTTGAACTTGTGGACCCTGCTGCCTCCACCTCCCAAATGTTGAGATTAGGGGTGTGGGTCTTGAGTTAATTTGACTGAACAAAATTTCCTCTATGAATTTGCTCGTAGCCTTGGGGCAGAGACCTGCCACAGTAGACTTGGTCTGATCCCTGTGACACAGAGACCTTTATCTTTTGTTTTAGTCCCTTTCATTTTTGTTTTGTGATTTCAGGTTAAGTCCGGAAATCTTCCTGAAGCGGCCAGTAGTGGAAGGCAACCGCTGGAGGCTGGACTGCATCCTCAAACGGAAAGCAGTGAGTATTCCCACAGGACACACACACATTTTAAACTCTTGCATGGAAGCATGAGGCTGGGTCATAGCTGGAATACCTGATTAGCCTGTATGAGGTACTGGCTGGATTTTATCCCAAGGAGCATAGGAAACTAATTGTGGTGACACACACCTTTAATACAACACTTAGGAGGTAGAAGAAGGATTAGGGGTTCAAGGCCAGCCTAGGCAGTATGGCAGTGTCAAGGTAAGCCTGGGCCTTTTGAAACTGTCTCAAGATAATTTTTTTCAAATATACTAATAACTTTTGATTTTAGAGCAGCCGTTCTCAGCTTTTCAAATGCTGCAACTCTTTAGTACAGTTCCTGATGCTGTGGTGATCCCAACCATAAAATTATTTTTGTTGCTCCTTCACAACTGTAATTTTGCTACTGTTATGAATCCTAATGTAAATATCTGCTTTCCAATGGCCTTAGGTGACCCCTGTGAAAGGGTTGTTCAACACACAACTTGAGAACCACTGCCTTAGAGCTTGAAAACCAACACACACACACACAGAGTACATGTACACACACACACAACACACACACACACACACACACACACACACACAGCAGATGCACCTGTGCACATACATGGAGAGGGGACTTCTTGTTTCCCAGTTTGTTTCAGATAAAAGAGTATGGGATGGAGAGATGGCTCAGCAGGTAAGAGCTTTTGCTGCCTGCCCAGTATAAATCTGAGTTCGAATCTTCAGTACCTACATTATGAAGTCAGATATGGTTGTGTGCCCTTATAACCCTATAACTGTGTGAGATGGATACAGGAGCGCTGTTGGCTTCTGTTGGCTGCCAGCCTGGCTCTGGATTCAATGAGAGATCCCATTTCAGAGGAATAAGATGGAGAATGATAGAAACGGGACATTGATGTCTTTCCCTGACCTCCATACACATGCATGTTGGCATATGCATTAAACAATCCCCCACACACCCCTCACACTCCCCCACATACACACATGCATACACCACATGTCACACCCACACACCATAGAAGGGAAGATGTTAAAGACTATGCGGTTTGGTTTTAGTCTGAGGACAGTTTACAGTGAAGCTAGCCTGTAGATTCTGGGTGAACACTGAGTATGTTCTTTTTGTTAAAAACAAACAAACAAACAAACAGTTGAAGCAGTGTAGCTACACTGATTTTTTTTTTTTTTTTTTTTTTTTGGTTTTTTGAGACAGGGTTTCTCTGTGTAGCTTTGGAGCCTATCCTGGCACTCGCTCTGGAGACCAGGCTGGCCTCGAACTCACAGAGATCTGCCTGCGTCTGCGTCCCAAGTGCTGGGATTAAAGCTACACTGATATTGTTAATGAACTCTGTTTATGTGACTAAGTTAGAGTAAATCTGGATTTATTATTAATCTTCTAATTAGGGGACACTAACCCTTTTACTCTGGTTTGAGTCTATCTTTTTTTTTCCTCCCGTGAAGCGTGTTTTGGCAGATGTTTAGATTTTGAGTTACTGGGAGCAGCATTTCTACTCCTAGAGGTCTCCACACCTTCTTCCTCCTCTCCCCACTGTCTCCTCTCTGCCACCCACTTTTCATGCCTCCTTCCATTGTCCTTTCCCCATACCTCCCAGAGAATTCCATCAGTACACAGACCTCATTGCTCACCCTAAGGGAAGATGATATTTTCTTGTATTCATCCAGCATGGCTCTGATGGATAGCATAATCCTTTCCATTCATAAAATGGGAAACTCTGAGCCTGGGAAGTTCTATTCACGTATTCCTTAAATAGCTCAGTGTATCTCTGATGAGCTATATAGGATGCAGGTCACCAGGGAGGCTATAGCAGATGTCTTTCCAGCCCATCCCAGCTAGCTCGTATGAAGACTCATGTCCTAGGCTCACACCTAGACTTACCAATCCCCCACCTCTAATTTTTTTCTATGAAGCAATGCCTCTCCTACTTCTCCTTAAGAGGTGTTTAGATGTTCAGGGGAGGAGGGTGGGTCAATAAAGTAGGATTGGGATGTGATAATGAGAGAGAGTAAAGGGAACCATGGATTCAGAAAGCTGAAGTCTTCCTCTCTCCCTCTCTTCCTTTGACCTCCTTCTTTTTACTTTCTGTCTCTCTGTCCCCTTTCCCTCCTTCCTTCTTCCCTCCCTCCCTCCCTCCCTCCCTCCGGCTGTTAGCTGAATGCTTTATTCGTGAGCTGCATCCCCAAGCCTAGAGAGGTCCAATTGAGATGCCCAGAGTATGAGGGGTCTGTAGACATCTACATAACCCACAAAAGGTAGCAAATGTTGACCAGGGCTCAGGAGGAAGAGTCTGCAGCCCTGGTCCTCCACCAAGTCCTTGGCCTTCTACATCACTGGTGTAGCTTCTCATAGCTTTTGACCCACACATCCTGCTGAGGTCTCTGATGAACACCATAGTGGATGAACATCACGGCTTGATGGTAGTGTTGCATTTCCAGGTCAGATGCTTTCTGTAGCTAGTAATCTTTAACTTTTGGATAATGATGTGTTTTAATGTCCCGGGGAACAGTGATGCCCTGAAGTGGCTCCATCGCACGTTTAGTGGAGTGTTCTCCTTCATCTCAGTGCACTGAATTTGCACTTTGCTCATCAAAGTTTTAACGTCTGCCATTCCAATCTGATATGTCATATGCACATGAACATTGCTTCTCATGCATGATTTAGCTTCTGGAAGCTACATGCTAGATTAGAAAAGAATGGGGTATGACATAGTACTTATTTTTGTATTAGTGTGTCCCGGAGGTATGTAAGATTGAAGATGAAACATTTATCTTCTATTATACAGATTGGTTGGTTTTTTTTAAACATTTTTAAGAAGAATCTACAAATTTGCCTGCCTGGTGGCTGATGAGCATGTTGGTCAACATCTCTTATGATGTTATGTTTTGCTTTTCTGGTAACAGCAAAGTTGATAATCTCATCTTTTCTGGGCCTCCTAATATGTGATGCCATCTTTAGTGCCAGCCAGTCTTGACAGTCAGGTTGTTTATTGCTTGGGCATCCTACTGCCTCATGTTGCCACAGCTCTGCAGTTAGAACCCTAGGAGCTAGGAAGATAAGTTGCCACAAGTTATGGTAGCCAGAACTCTGCACCACAGTTGTGTGTATTTCAATCTTAGAAATATGAGATTGATACCAGAGGAATTTTTCAGAGTGGTAAGATGGCAACAGTCAAAGGGTTTTGCTTTTCATATTGAATTTGTCATCAAGTTGATTCTTTTTTCCTTTTTGGACCACAAGACACAAGACTGCTGGAGTGATAGCTGCCATCAAAGGGAAAGATGTCCACATTAGAGAACGGAGACAGAGAGATAACCTTCTACCAGGAAAACCAGTGGGGTCCTAAATAGGAGGCTGTAATGGCTTACCGGAGAAGGCAGAGGGTATCTTTAACCACCAGGACCATATTTTAAACAAAACTGGTTAAAAATGCATAGGTACTTATGCTGTGGTAATCTAGTGTTCCTTTTCTTTAAATAGTGAGGATATGATTACCTCTTTTAAAAATTTTTTTCTTAAATGATATTCTAAATTTGTGTGTGTTACACATGTGGGGAAGTCAGAGGACACCTTGAGGGAGTTGTGGAATTCAAATTCAGGTAGTCCAGATTGGAGGCAAGTGCCTTTATCCACTGAGTATCTCACAGGCCTACATTCTGCCCTCAGTTTTTTGAGATGGGATCTCAGATAGCCCAGGCTGACATCTAACTCCTGATCCTCTGCCCACTCTCCATATGCGCTGGAATTACAGCTGAACACCTCCACACAGGGATTTTAACTTTCCTTTCATCATTTGTTTCCCATTACCTACCATAGTGCACTCCAAAAGAAGTTCTTGGGAAACATGGAATTGTTTCTCTGGGGTGGGATTGTATAGGATAATGACAGGCAGCCATTGGACAAACTTGGCTTTGCTTTGGAGATACTTGGACCATGTTACTTTCAATACTCAGAAGAAGCTGGCTATGAAATGGGATCTTGTTGATGGCCACTGTATTTTTTTTTTCAGTTGTCTTCATGTGTATTTTGTGTATCCAAAGCCCCTAAAATTCTTGTGTTTGTCATGTTGTGCCTTTGTATCTAATGACAAGCTACTTAGGAAGGAGGACTGAATGTGTGTCTGCCATTTCAGCTCACTCTAGAACTTTGTTTGCTTAAGTTCAGCAAAGATAAGAAACATGTTATCTCATAAAGGTCCCTCCAGAGAGCCTTCTTACTTACCAATAGTGCCCTTCTTCTCTGGGCATAAAAGACTGGAACTTGTTATGTAGACCAGGCTGGCCTGGAACTCACAGGCTGACCTCCCAGGTGCTGGGATGAAAGTCATGCCCCACTGTCCCTGGCCTGAAGCTGACTTTTGTACCGGATGAGACATCAGGATCTAGTTTCATTCTTCTACATTTTGAAACCTAGTTCTACCAAGACCGTTTGTTGAAGAGGATGTCTTTTTTTCCAATCTTGTTTTCTTTTTAAACTTTTTGCCAGAAAGCAGGTGGCTTCACTGTATGACTTTAATTCTTGGCCCTCTCTTCTATTCCATTGAGCTCCATGTTGGTTTTTGTGCCAATGCCATGCTGTTTTTGTTACTCACACTCTGAAGTGTAGCTTAAAATCAAGCATCACAGTGATACATCCAGCATTGATTTTTGCTTAGCATTGCTTGGTTATTGAGGTCTTTTATGCATCTGTGAATTTTACACATTTTATGATTTTTTGTTTTTCTCTGAAGAATGTCATTGGAATTTTTGTAGTGATAGTATTGAACCTGTAAGTGGCCTTGGGGGACACAGCCATTTTCACAAAATAAATTCTGCCAATCCTGGAACATAGATCTTTCCACTTTCTGCTGACATTCCACACAGACAAATATATCCAGGCTGACATTGAACTCATTATACAGCCGAGGATGACCTTGAACTTCTAACCCTCTGGCCTCAGACATCACCATGACTGGTTTATGCAGTGTTGGGGACTGAACCCAGGGCTTCCTGAATGCCAGGCAAGCAGGCTCCCAGCTGAGCTATACCTCCAGCTGGTTGTCTTAATGAATTGTCTTTTTTGTGTTTGAAATGTTCCACGTAGAGGACTCTTATTTATTTGGTTATGTTTATGCTGAGGTAATTTTTTTTTTATTTTAAGCTTTTATGAATGGCATTGTTTTACTGATTCATTATTTCTTCACAATCACTGTTTGCATGTAGGAAGGCCACTTCAAAGTATTACTTTTTAAATTACAAACAGCCTTGTCTTCTGTAGATTTGGCTTTTGGTTTACCGAAATAAGTTTCCATGGTTTCATAAGCCTGCACTGTTACAACAGAGCAAATAGCTTTATCGAAAAGGAACAATTTTCCTTTGCCATTTATAGAGTTTATGGCTGCATTGTGATATGGTGCACACTTTGCATCTCTTGAGTTTGTGGCTGCTCTGTAATATGGTACACATTTTGCCATTTATGGGGTATGGCTGTGTGATATGGTGCGCACTTTGACATTTACGGAGTTTATGGCTACGCTGTGATATGGTACACAAAAGGGAAATTACTGTTTTATTATCTTGGGAATCTGCCAGGTGTTAACTGCTTATTACAGGTATAAGCATAAGTATATAAGCCCCATTAAAAATAATATTTGTATAATTGCTTCCTTGTTAGTCATTCGTATCTAAGATAAAAGGGAACAAAATTTATATGCTATTTTCTTTATATTCACCTTATTCAAGTGAGAGAAGACACAGTATAGAATAAAATACCAGGTGTAATATTTGGAATGTATTAGTGCAATCCATAATCTTTATCTTAAAGGCCCACCAGTTATTTGGGTAAGTGGGAAACTTGGATTTTGACCAAGTACCTAATTTTTGAACACTGTGCTTAATGAATAATAATGTTTTAAGCTCAAGAGCCAGAATTTAGAGGGCTGGAGAGATGGCACAGTGGTTAAGGATGTTTGTTGCAAAACCATAAGGACCTGAGTTCAGATCCATGTCCACAGGAAACAAACTGGGCACGGTTTAGTGTGGACCTGTCACCCCAGTGCTGTGGAGGCAGAGACAGGAGGATCACTGGGGTTTACTGGCTTGCCAGCCTAGCTTAATGGGGGGGCACACACGGCCCTTACCTGTTGTTCACACACTGATGAATCCATGTGTGCCACACATCACCACACTCATGGGGTCTTGTGCATGGGAATGCATGTGTGCCACACATCACCACAGTCACCCCCACACACAAAAGAACACTCTCTAAAAATAAAAGCAGACTTTGAAATAAATGAACCACAAGGAATGATGTCAGGTATATGCATATAATACTTAGGTTGAAATTTTGGGTTGAATTAGACTTTTCCCCCCAAGAGACTTCTTTTTAGCACTGACCGTAGTTCAGTGATAAATTTTAAAATATTTAAATAGAAAAATATAGCTGAATGACAGAGCTAAAAAAATTTAATTTTCCTTTCGAGACTGACCAGTTTATCAAAAATCAACCTATTCCCTTCTTGTTTATATTGTTATGTCCTTTATTCCTTTATTCCCATTGTCTTTTGCCTAAAAGCATGAACTCTTTATGTTATTTGAAGTTGTGGTGTGAAAACACATGGTCTTGTTGGTCAGATGGTACCACTTGAGAGTTGTTCACTGGGCTCTTTCTGATTTAGTTTGACAGTGAAATGGCCCCCAAGAGCCCTGTCTGTGTTCTTCTGACCTAGTCTATGGGCAGATTCAGTTAATCTGTGTGCCCATGTCACATAGTTACTGCTACAGTGAGGTCCTTTTGCTAGGAGCATAGACATGGCAAATCCAATTGTGAGTTAAGACTGAGCACATTCGTCTTTGAAGATCTAGAACTGTTCTCTCCGTTTAAACCATTGTTTTCCCAGAGACAGTTAGGGTACATTTGGCCCTAGCTGTTGCCTCGAGGGTTCAGGTCACAGTTCTCCTGAGTGATAAGTGCTTGGGGATGTCTAGAAAGGCAATAAGGCTACTGGGTACCTTCAGGAGCTAAGGTGTTGGTCTTTGCATCCTAGATCTGTAAGTAGTCCGGTACTTGTACAAAGGGAAGGAGGATGGCTTTCTTTTGAGATATGTAGCCTAGGCTGGCCTTGAACTCCTGTTCCTCCTGACTCTACCTCCCCAGTGCTAGTATGACCAGTATTTGCCACCCCAACAAAGTTCTATATTTTCTATTTGTGTCTTGACAAAATACATTCCCTTCCTTGCACTGCCTGTTCATTAAGTGTTGTGATACCAGTTTATTGAATAAAGGAGACCTAACCTAGGGAAAGAAAGGAGGGAAGGGAGCCACAGCCCTCCAGGGGCTCATTCCTGTTTTCTCATGACAGCAACAAGGTGTTCGGATTTTCATAATGCTTTACAAAGAGGTGGAACTAGCCCTCGGGATCAACAGTGAATACAGCAAGCGGACTTTGATGCGGCTGCACCCCAACATAAAGGTACCCTTCTACCAGTGCTTACTATCTCACAGGAGCCTTTCCATGTAGATTCCCTTAATCTTCATTTTGAACAGCATCAGATCCTCAGAAATGCAAGCTCTGTTTTCTTTTCAAAACTAGCATGCAAATACCCAAGGGATGGTTATTTTAGACATACCTTGTTTTTGTTTTTGTTTTTTTTTGATACTCCTTCCCTATTTCCTTTGCCCAGCCTCCTGCTCCCCCTTTCCTTCTTCCCCATAGAACCCTTTGCTTTTCTTTCATGTCACATGTCTTTCCATACCCTCTTTCCCCTTCCCCATTCCCTCTAGACTTCTCTTCCCCTCTCAAAATCCCTTTTCAGTTTCTTGACCCTACTCACACCCCATAGGTATGCATATATATAAATGTTTAAATGTAGGATCCACATGTGAGAGAAAACATTTGGTATTTATCTTTCTAGGTCTGGGTTACTTGAATAGTTTCCTTTTCCATCATTTTCCTGCAAATGTCATTATTAAATTTGTTACTACTAAATAAAATTCTATCGTGTATACATACCACATAGTCTTCATTTGTCTGTTGATGGGCATCTAGACCGGTTCCATTTGCTTACCATTGTGAATAGAACAGCAATACACATGGATGTGCAAGAATCTGTGTGGTGTGACTTAGTTCTTTATGTGTCCAAGAATAGAGCTGAGCTCTATGGCAGTTTTCATTTAGTTGTCTTCCTCCTTCCTTCCTTCCTTCCTTCCTTCCTTCCTTCCTTCCTTCCTTCCTTCCTTTTCTTTCTTCTTTTTGTCTTGGAAAAATGATCTCACTGTGTAGTCTGATTGGCCTGCACCTCTCTATGGGACAAGGCTGGCTTCTGACGCAGAGATCCTCTTGCCTGTCTGTCTCCTGGGTTCTGGAATTAAAAGCATGCACCCTAACTCTACCCTAACCCTAACAATAAATAAAAGCATTAGCCAATATTTTTGGTGTCTTCCTACTTACAAACATGAACATAAGAGAGGGGTTCCAGTGGGGTCATGTAGAGAATAGTCATCCAAGCATTTATCAGTGTCTCCAAGAACCTTCACATAAGGAGCTGTCCAGGTATCCATGTGCTTGTATCATCAGAGCAAAAATACGATTTATTAAAAGTCTTTCCACAGATGCATGCTGTCTAAGTATTATTTACTTAATCATTAATTTATTTATATTAAGGGTAACTATTGGAGGGGGTGGAAAGAGAGCCTCGAGCTGTTAACTTGACATAGCTTTAATGGCTGCCATTCAAGTCAAAGGACAGCTTCCTTAAACCAACGCATCTGGCTGAGGACTTAAACCATGGGAGGGTACATGTGGCACTTGGAATGTCAGCATTAAGGAAACTGAGACAAGGGGGGTCTCAATTTCAAGACCAGTCAGAGTAATCCAAAAAAAAAAAAGGAAGGAAGAAAGAAAGAAAGAAAGAAAGAAAGAAAGAAAGAAAGAAAGAAAGAAAGAGCAAGAAAAGAAAGAAACACTGGATGGAAGTCTTTCTCTGCTAATGCTGAGAATGAAATCTGAAGTTTGTGGGACTCTCTTTGACATATGTAGAACACATTTTTGTGCCTGAATTATTTTTTAAATTGCTTTTAGGGAGGAAGCAGACCTATTCTATTGGGACGTGAAGGGCACTTCTAAATCACATTCTCTGTGGATTTCTCTTGTCTCCAGGTGATGAGGCACCCAGACCATGTGTCATCCAGTGTCTATCTGTGGGCTCATCATGAGAAGCTTGTCATCATCGACCAATCGGTGGCTTTTGTGGGTGGGATTGACCTAGCCTATGGAAGGTGGGATGACAATGAACACAGACTCACAGACGTGGGCAGTGTGAAGCGGGTCACCTCAGGACTGTCTATGGGCTCTCTCGCAGTAAGTACCTGTCACCTTTGTGGGACAGCACAAAATCGACAGCCTTGTCTAAACCCATACAAATAGCATGACTGACCCAGTGATTCAGAGGTGGCATCTGAGAGGTGTGGTGGACACACCTGCTTTCCTTTAGAAGCCTACCCTGCCTGCCTTACCTGGAACCTGGCCTCTCTCAGCTTCTCCCCTATAGCAAGGGAGAGCAAGTTCGGTATAGTGTATGTTATCTCAATCAGCACTCTGGTTTTCTATTTAAATTTAATTTTCTATTGAGAAAAGATGTTTGTGAACAAAAATGTGTGACAGTCAATACTGAGGTTAAATAAGAGTAAGAAGCCCATGCCAGGCGGCTGCTAGAGCTGGGTTTTGTTCACGTATGAGAGTGTGCTCAGCTACGGTTGGCATCCGTTTGTTTTTAGCATTTTCCCACTTATGGACACAAAAATCAGTAGATCATTCTGGGGTCATTTAGAGTGAATTGGAGCAGGACATTAACTAGTGACTTCTCAAAGTACCTGCTAATCAGGAGCTGCCTAAATACTTGCTCTGTGTTTCAGCTTTACACGGCCCAAATGCAACATCCTTGTCCAAACATTTTGTGGGCTTTTCTTATTTACTGATGGGAATGCTGCTGGCTTTTCTGAGGGTTGAGAAAGAACAATGCACTGCCTAGATACGTGGGTCAACTGTTCCCCTTGCTGTGATGAGAAACGGCTTAAGGGAGGCGGGGCTTGACTCCACATGTTAAGGAGTACAGTCCATTGTGCTGCTGAAGGTGTGGATGCAGGAGCTTGACTCCTGCTAACCCCATTCCATCTGCAGTTAGGAAGATTGGGAAGACAAGCCATCAAACCTCAAGGCCTACCCCCCAGTGACTCTTCTCCCCCAGCAAGGTTCCATCTCCTTCTAGAACACTGCCACCTACTGGGGACTAAGTTTTCACATAGCCTGCAGAGGACATTTCACAGTCAAACCACAGCAATGACAGAGGAAGTCTGTTCATCAGAGAAGTTGTGTGCTTTGACGGTGAATTTAGATAGTGTAATTACTGTGAGGTAAAAGCATCAGTAAAATGAAATTTTGAGAATTTTAGCTGGGTGTGGTGGCATGAACCTTTAATCTCAGAATATGTGAGGCAGAGGCAGGTAGATCTCTGAATTTGAGATCAACCTGATCCACACAGAAAGTTCCAGGACAGCCAGGTCTATGGAGAGAGAGCTATCTCAAAACAGCCAAGGAATCTCCACTCTATGGAGAGTCTCTTCTGGGGCCATCACTGGTCACCACTTGTAAACGGCCTCTCTGCTCTCTGCTTGGGTGAAAGCAAATTGCAGTATACTGTATGCATGGTCTTTTTTTTTTTTTTTTTTTTTTTTAAATAACTTTCTCAGGCAGCAACAATGGAATCTATGGAATCCTTAAGCCTCAAGGATAATCACAGATCTCATAAAAATGAACCCATCCTGAAGAGTGTGGATGATGTAGACCCCAAGCTGAAAGGAGTAGGAAAGCCCCGGAAATTCTCCAAATTCAGTCTGTATCGACAACTGCACCGTCGCCATCTTCACAACTCGGACAGTGTTAGCAGCATTGACAGCGCCTCCAGTGAGTCACATTTTTGCTAGAATTTGGCTTGGCTGTGCTGTGACCTTCGCAGCCAGTCCCTTACCTATCTGTTTTTCAAAAAAAATCTGTGGTAGCATTCAATGAGTAAGTAATGCCTAAAAAGTGCCATGCCATCTTGCTTGACACCATAGTGCCTCTGGCACTGTTTGTATTTTGAGACAGAGTCTCATGTAGCCCAGGCTGGTCTCAAACTCACTATGTGGTAGAGACTGATCTTGGGTTCCTGTCAATTCCATGATGGGATTGCAGGCATATACCACCATGTCTGTTTTTATAAGGTTCTGGGATTAAACCAAGGAGGGGCTCTGTGCATGAAGCAAGCACACTACCAATTGAGCTCCATGTCTGGTCTCCTTTGCCTCATTTAAAAAACATATTATTAAATACAAAGTAATCATAACAACCACTATTGATACTTTTGGTGGTCACATAATGACTAAACCTTTCTAAAACATGACAAGTTATAAAGGGAAAAGGAAAGCATTTAGGTGTACTTCATAAACATTTTATAGAAATGTATTTCTTTTCATCCAGGAATATACTGTTTGTATCAGTAGACATCAGATATTCTATATTCTTACTATTTATTGCAAATCATGCTTAGAGTACTGTGATTTTCTATCACACCAGATCTCATGGCTAATTCTATACATCTGCTTGTTTTAAAAATAATTAAGCTTGCTTTCAAGTTTGGAAAATTTGATGTATACATGTGCACACACATACATGTATATGTAAATATGTTTCTTTGTAAAACAAAAAAGAACTCTCAACTTTCTCCAGGTTATTTTAACCACTATAGAAGTCACCAGAATTTAATCCATGGTTTAAAGCCACACTTGAAACTCTTTCGCCCTTCCAGGGAGTCCCAGCAGGGACTCACTGGGCACAGCACTGGTAAGTGGCTTGCTAGTGTCAGAACCCCATGGGCTTCAGCTTTTGTTGCTTCCTCTGTTGCACAAGTACAGTGAGTGTGTGTTCATACCGGCTTTCTGCTCAGTCTTCATGTCTCATGTTAGGTAGGTGCTGCTCCATGCAAGTGCAAGCTCTGTACTTCTAAGAACCTACACTCCAGTGGTGAAGAGAAGAAAACACACTCAACAACTCTGTGGCGCACACACACACACACACACACACACACACACACACACACACAAACACACACACAACTCTGTGCAAGGCAAAAGGATATCCATCCTCTTACTCACCTAGAGCAATGTTTTAAGGAGGCAGCCTGTCTAGACGGTCTGACAGTAACTTGAGTAGGTAGGTGAGGACAGGGAATTTGAGGGGCTAGGCAGAACAGGAAAGAAATGAGCCCAGCAAAGGCACTGGGATGGAAAGACCAACATCTTACTTGTTAATAGGACATGCCACTTTCAGCTAAGGCATGGTGACTGGTGTTAAGAGGATACATTTGAGGCACAGAGTCCCATACAAAGTGGGGAAAATGCAATTTCATTTGTTGAAAAAAATCACAAAGGTTTTTGATAGAGCTATCATGTTTTACATGGGACTGGTTAAAAATTGTTGTCTGATACCTTTTATGAGAAGCATCAGATATGTGAGGAATGAATTAATCAGGGTCTAATTATGAAGGTGAGAAAGAAGAAAGTTTTGGTAACTGATCTGACCTAAGGATGGGGAATCATTACAATAAATCAGCAGCCAAGTGCTCAGACGGTCCCACACTGCCCTGGACACTTGCAATGCCTGACAGGAATATTATCTTTTTGTCACAAATGAGAAAACTTGACCAGATGGCAAGAGACTCATTTGCCCAGTGTAGACCCAGTACATCAGCATCCTCGTGTTTACACATGTGGCTTAGCAGAAATGCAAACACTCCATCCATCTTGCGGAAGCTAAGATTCTGTTCTACTAGATTGGGATGTTGGAAGCCAGCTGATAGGCTGGGATGAATCTCCAGGGAACCTGACTAGTAAGGCTGGAACTTAAGGAGTAGCTCCAATATTCTTTAGGAATCCAGCTTCTAATTTTTTAATGATATGTGTTTATTTTTTGTGTGTCTATGAATATGCCTAGGCTATGTTGTCTGTGTGGAAGTCTGAGAACAATTTTCAAGAGTTGGACTTCTCTTTCTACTATGTGGGGCCAAGGGATTGAACTCAGATCTCCAGGCTTGGTGGCAAGCCATCACATGGACCCAGACACAGCAATTTTTTAAATGCATTAACTATATGTAATGAACCAAAGCTCAGTGTAAATTCTATTAATATTGACACACAATTAAAAATGGAAAATATTATATGGAATTTGTCTTAGTTATTTAACGTGAGGTTAGTTCTTGATTGGCACATAAGTTTAGAACAACTTTCATTTATGTTTGTGCCTACGTGCACCTCACTATTCTGAGGTCTGGAAGCTTTTGGGTAACTAAGGAGACCAAGACAGGGTACCTGTGCATCTGTAAATATTAAGAAGAATTCTTAGTTAAGGCAGTTCTGGAAAGTGGCATTCTGGTGTGTGTGTTTGCTGCTTTATAACTGAGCTTTAAATGAAATGGAAGGTTGCTGAAGTGTGTAAAGGTCTGCACGCTGATGGTTAGTGGTGTGCACAGTGGAAGCAAGTGGAACTGAGGCAGAAAGGTATGTGGCACATTAGGCCAACCCCTGGCTGACGGCCTGAGACCCACAGTGATGATCTAGGACATGATGCTGCTGTCCGTGACAGGCATCCCCCGTCTCCTTCACTCACTGACTGGAGACTTGTTTATTTTAAGAGAAAGGAAGAAGTAAATAAATTTTAGCCTCTGGAAATGATAAGGAAGTAGGGAGTTGGGTCATCCTTAATGAGATGGAGCAGACATTAAAGCAGAGGCTCACATGGTTCTTCAAAGATTTATTTGAATACTAATTATGTGTGTGTTTCTGGTGGATGCTGGAAGCCAACCCGGGGTCCCCTGAAATAACAGCATGCACTCTAACCACTAAGCCATCTCTCTAGGCCCCTTTTATGCTCAAATGAATAAATATGTACTGAGCTCCTAAGAAATGCCAACCACCGTCCTAAGTACTATGGATGAAATTAATGTAATAAGGATGGGGTTAGTATATCAAACAGTGACAATTATTATAGTGGAAACCAATGGTGTGAAAGCAGAGGGATGGATTACTATTTTATATAACTTGATTAGAGAATCGTACTCTTATGGGTTGGAAGTCAAAAAGGAGAGAAGGAGCTGGGCGTTGGTGTCGCACACCTTTAATCCCAGCACTTGGGAGGCAGAGGCAGGCAGATCTCTGTGAGTTCAATGCCAGCCTGGTCTCTAGAGGGAGTGCCAGGATAGGCTCTGAAGCTACACAGATAAACCCTGTCTCGAAAAACCAAAAAAAAACAAAAACCAAAAAACAAAACAAAACAAAACAAAACAAAAAAAGGAGAAGAGGAGAGTAAGAAACTGTGTGGGGTAGTGTCCTAAGCAGGAGCTACAGCAAGTTCAAAGAACACATGGCCAGGGATGATTGGGATGTTCTAGATATGTGGCTGTGGAGATGGGAATGTTAGCAAAGCAAGGTGGGGGACCGGATAGACTACAAGCAGCTTTGTAGGCTACTGTAAGAATTTGATCTCTGGAAAGTCAGTGAATAGTGTTAATGTATAGATAGCCACATGGAAGGGCCTCCCAGGATGCCTTGCCATACAGAGGTCACAGTGCAGGGTACAGGTGTGAGGGGTCCCTGCAGGTGTCCATGTGGGGAAGGGAACTACATGAAGAGATAAGTAGGAAAACAAGGTGCAAATTGACTTTGTCAACCTGGATCAGACTCCGGGGAGGCAAAAAAGAGACATTCTTCCCAATGTATTTCAGCACAGCATAGTTTAGAAAAAGGCTTCCTGGTGTAACGCAATCCCTGGTGCACAAGGAAGCGTGATTACATTGAAACTCAACTCAGGGTACATGTCATTTCCTCCAAGACAATGGATTCTCCGGACAGACTGCCTGTGCTAGCTTAAGGGCCTAAAGGTCTGGCCTGGTCTGGTCATACAGAGAGCATAGAGGTCATTTGAACTGTTAGCCACCTCTGGTCCTGGTTGTGGGAGCTTGGAGGAGCCTCTGACTATAAGGGTCATTTAGATGACTAGTCACCTCAGGTCTTGGTTGTGGAAACTTAATATGACCTGGCCCAACAGATGGCACAGAATACCAACAGTTTATCACTCCCAATTCTCAGCTTTCTGGATGGAAGAACAGGTTTTTCATCTTTCCCACTGGAAAGACAATCCTGTGTGCTTAATTCAACATTCCTAGTTTCTCTGGAAATCTGTGGGCACAAGGAGCTTGGTGCTATGCTCCCAACACAGGAGAGATGATTGGCGGGTTTAAACAGAAAGACTTTACTAAACACAATTCTGCTTTAGGAGTTCAGTAACCAGGGTAGGTTCTGTAATATGTATTTTAACTAGAAAAGCACCCAGCCACCTCCAAGGATTTCTCTTTTCAGAATTATGTTCTAAGGAGGGTTCTAGGTTTCTATTGCTTTGTTTGACACTGTTTTAAATACAGAATTTGATTCCTATAACATTTATGGAGCATTTGCTGAGCTTTCCTTTGTAAATAATACTGACCAGATCAGTAAGCAGGATTTCACATTGATTGGGCTGATAATTGGGCTGTGGCTTCTCTAGACTTCTGTGGGCCGTAGTGCACTGGGTGCAAAAGACTTAGCGTTCTCCCAAGAAGCTTAGCTCAGTTAGACATGGTGGCTCGTATCTGCAGTCTCAGCATTTGGGGGGACAGAGGCAAATACTGTGACAAATTCCAGGCCAGCCTGCCTTACATAGTGAATTTAAAGCCAGCAAGGGCTAGATAGGTCTTGTCTGAAAACAAAACAAGACAAAACAATACAAAACAAAAAACAAAAAACAAACAAACAAAAAGGCCCGCTTACTGTGTGCTAGTTGATCATGAAGCAGTTTGGAATGTTTTGCTGGTTAGCACAGTGGTTAGTTCTCTTCCTTCAGGTGGAACCTTATTAACAGACCCAAGACATGGTCACAAACCCTCACATACACTTGGAAATTAGAAAGTTGAAGACTGAACGTTTTCAAAAACACATAACTTAATCAGGACCTGGATTGGAACCAACCTTAGATGTGAATATAGATTCAAAAGGTAGGGTACTGAGGATGTAGCACAGTGGTAGAGTGTTAGCCTACCATGCACGAGGCCCCAATACTACAAAAAAACTTGGAAGATAGGGACTAAGAAAGGAGAGAACAGTTGTTTCAGGATAATTTTTTATCATGGGGCACAGATTTGAAAATCAGTACCAAAAACACTTTCAGTTTTCAAACTTAACTATGCAGTGGGACAAACCCACAGAGGTCTACGGGAAGCCCTGGAGCCAGACATGCTCCCGTAACTAGAATGTGCTAGGGTTTAGAAGAGTGATCTTGTATCTATACCCTGTATTATATGTCACTTCCACCAGGCTCCAGCAATACAGGCGATGTAAGCATATGTGCAGCTTGAGTAGGGACAATGCAGTCAGGAAAACTTCCAGGTCAGTTCAGGGTAGCATCTGATAACAAATGAATGATGAACACACCATTGGGTCTTCAGAGTTTGGGAACTTGGGGGTTGTGATTAAGGATTAATTTGTGTAAACTGGGCTAATGGAGTCTATCTGGGTCAATTATGGAGGCTCCAGAGAGTCAGGCTAAAAGAGTCTAAATCAAAAAATGTTGGAGAACACCATGATGGGGGTTGGCTAAAGGTAAAGATTCATGAAGAATATACTTGATGAAAAGGGATCCAACCAGGTTGTGCCAATGTGCTCAAGATTGAAGGAGATGGAAATTTCCAGAAGAATTATTACAATGTCCTTATGGTTTTGGAAGTGGTGATGGGAGGATGTGAGGAAGATAACTGGAAGAGAAATGGAGAGCTGCACAGACACCTGAGAGGGTGGAACTGAGTCACCCATGGCTCGGAGAGGGGGATATTGATGCTGTAGGCAGCTGGCAATTCTAGTATTAGGTGTGACAAAAAGAGGTGACTACAGCAAGGTCTGGAGACTCCTGGCAGGAATAGGAAGATGCTCTTGTGCAAACTTTGGCTGCTGACAGACAAGGGCCAGAAAACTGGCATGAGGCCCCCAAGGAGAAGAGATGCAATTGTGATGATGTCATTCGGGAGCCAGCTATAGTGCTGCTGTGGCTGCTCACAGATGTCCATGTGTGCTCGGCTGCCTTCCTGTGTTGCGAGGACCGCCATCCTGTGAAATACTTGAACCTTGGCTACAAACAAAAGCAAGTTTGAATTGTGGGCATCTGAATCCAGTTTTCTGAGACTAGAAAGTTACTTCCATTTTTGCCCTCAAAATGATAACCAACTATCATAATAACTATCATAATATTTCAACAAGCATATGGGTATCCATGTTAAAGTTTTCTCTTTACTTCTTAAATTGATGAGAATCAATTATGTGTATGCATATATTTACAATCACCACACACAACTAATATCATATCTCAAACTTATTCCATGTTTGTATTTCCTAATTTTCTATTACAGTGTGTGTGTGGTGGGGGTGGGTACACCTGTGTGTATGTGGCACTGGCAGGCCTGAGGAGATTAGAGAACAATTTGAGCAAGTCAGTTCTTGCACCATTTGAGTCCTGGGGATTGATTCAGAGCCCTAGGCTGGGTTGCAGGTACCTTTATTTACTGAGCCATCTCTCTGTTCCTATGTTTTGTAAATCTGGAATTGACTCATCATTTATTTTATATTCTCACCCTCTCTTTGCTTACCCCCATCTCTCTAGCCCCCCTTCCCAACAATATCCATGCTTTCTGTGAAGAACCTACAGGGCAGCCCACAGCCACCATGTGCTCTTTCCTTTCAGGGGTACACATCAGGAAAGCCAGTAGCTGAGAAAAGATAATAGAAGTCTGTTTCAAACGTTAGTTGCTTTTGTTGACATTGGCAATTTAAACTATCTTTCATACGATATATTTAATGACCTTTGCAAAGTTAATTATTAATTTTGATATATAATGTTAGGTGTGTGGTGACTGCATAAAAATATTTGTTCTGCAAACATTTATTATTACTTCCTGGATGCTAGAAGCTACAGCAGGTGGTGAAGTTATATAGTACCCACTCTGAGTTTATAGACTCCTGGAGGAGGATTATCCACTCAGTGTTTTGTGCAATTGCCTGGCCTGGTCAAAGGCTTTTGGAAGGCATTTCCAGACAGGACAACATCGATGCTGGGGACGCCATTCCTTGCAGGGGTCTGTTCTGTCTCTCTTGAGGCCAGGATGATATGGCTCATAATGAACAACTAAGAGATCAAGCAAAAGGGAGGGAAGGACATTCTACACAGAATGGGTAACACACAAGCTGCACAGAGGCAAGGCGGGTTAGCCTGCCAAAATACTGTGAAAAATAAGGCATGCTCAAGCCTGGAGCTAAGCGAAGGGAAAAATGGAGAAGAAAAAGACAGATGGCTGTAGGTCTGGGAAGTACCTCCTACACACACTAAATCCCTTAACACTTGAACCTCCTGTAGATGGGAGGTGATTCTAGAGATGTTTTTAAACACTTTGCATTTGGAAGGGACATGCAAGGACAGCTCTAGGGTGATATGTCAGTGGTAATGTGTGTTGGCCAGCACGACTCTCACAGGCTACTTCAAGTGGTACTACTGTTATTCATCTAACAATCGTTCTTGCACCCCATGCCTGCCTGTCTAATGCCTCTCTTGTGCCAAGTACTGCATTTGTGGTTTCAGTTCTGCTTCCAAGAACCCCTGCTTCGTTGTCTTTATGACTGGCACATCCCTGAAACTTTCTCACTGTTTAACAGTTCTTAAGTAGAGTGGTCCATTCGGCTCTGTAGAATGCTGCTGCAAACTGTTGCTTTAGTGCCGCGATTGTAAGCTTCTGTCTGTTATATTTTTATGGATGATGTTTGTGATAAGAATGTTAAAGACTGAAAGATCTTAGCTGTCATCTAGGCCAAATCATACACTTTACATGTAAGGCTTTATGACCCTAAATGTAGGCTCTTGGTGCCATGTAGCTATCTAATTCTGAGGCTGGAACATGGACTGCCTATATGTATGAGACTTGTGCTTTTTGAGATGAGGAAGGCGTGAAGTATCCACCGTGTTGGTAGCCTGGCTTCTGTTGCCTCTGCCTAGTGTACCCCCATCCTCACTTGGTTTTAGTGTTCTCTTGGAGCCCCACCTGGGGAATTCTTTATAGTTTACTCTGTGGTCTATTCTCCCTGACCTGGTAGGCTGTGAGAATAACCTACTCAACTGCCAAGAGTTAACTGCCCTGTTAACTAATGATGACTCTGGTTAGGACCTCTGTTGCTACTTAAAGAGAATCTCGTGACTGTTGGAATACTATGTCAGCCCACAGTCCCTGACCAATGGACACAGGCTGCCCTAGTGACAGGATTCAGGAAGAAAAGTGAGGGGGGATGGAGTGTTTAGCAAGGTACAGGAGGTTCCTTTCCAGGGCCTAATCAACTCTCAGCCTCTGAGCCAATCTTGCAATGTTCACAGACACTGGCTCCATCCGAAGTGTACAGACGGGTGTGGGAGAGCTGCATGGGGAGACCAGGTTTTGGCATGGGAAGGATTACTGCAACTTTGTCTTCAAGGACTGGGTCCAACTGGACAAGCCTTTTGCTGGTGAGTACTGGGGAGGAGGGTAGCTCAGGTTCCAGGCTTTTTTTCACTTTGGGGCATCTCAGCTATGCATGTGCATGATCTAAGTGCCTTCTGTTTTGTTTATTTCAAGTTTTAAACTTGCATTTATTAATTATATGTTGTGAGTTTTATTATGAACTTTTCATACATGTATATATTTTGGTTCTCCCCACCCCCTGAATTACCCTTTTCCCCCCTCCCGTTCCCACTGGTCCCCTTCCTCTTCCCAATGAAAAGCCCTTGTGCTCCTGATGGTCTAGTGAGTTTAATTAGATTTGCTGTCAAGAGCATGGGTAAGGAGTTACAGGAGCACAGGTAACTGACTACAAGTGGCTACATTGCTGAAGAGTGCCATTCCCTTCCCCGCCTACCATTAACTACCTAAAGATCCTCAATGGATGTTTTATTCTTGTCTTTGAAATTTTGGTTAAATTTTGGAGATCCGATTTGGTCATACCCATAGGAGTTTTTTGCTGTAGTGGTAAGAAAACATGAAACTTAAAATTCCAAATTTCCCACAGCTATATTTTAGGGTATAAACTGAAATTCTCCACCAGAGGGTATCCCTCATTTGGTCATATTCTTTTGTATTTATTTTCTCAATCTTCCTTCATTAGAGAGATGTCTTAGTGATTGTGCTTGTATGTCTAAAAGGTAGGCAGTATGGTGTTGTGTATATTGATAGCCTGCTGTTATTTCCACAGATCTAAAGGGGAATCCTATTAAGCATGTAGGCTTTGATTTTTTGTACCAATTCACATTTTGCTCTGTCTGCAGATTAAAACTGAGCATATAGCAGGGTCCATGGAGAGGGTAGATGATTGAATTTCTTGATTGAATATCTGTGTTTCCTTGACCATGATTATGTTGTATCCTAGTTGAGGTCAGAGTATTTCTGTCCCCTGGCACCGAACTCAGCGATGGGTCCTTGCCTGGTGCCCCCGGGCAGATTTCATTGACAGGTACTCCACCCCTCGAATGCCTTGGCATGATATTGGTTCTGTGCTTCATGGGAAGGCAGCTCGAGACGTGGCTCGTCACTTCATCCAGCGCTGGAACTTCACGAAGGTACCAATGTTGTTAGAACTTGGCCCACATTAGTCCCTGGCTGAGGAGAAGCTCAGAGGGTTGGAAGGAAAGGGCTGCTGTGGCCACATCTGTGACACCATCCATTGTTGTGAATATCATTGTCATAATGCTGGGCTGTGGAGCACTACAAAAAAAGGGAACTGTTTTCTAGAGTATTATGCCAGACAGCTCCTATGTGGAGTGATAGAAGTGGCGATCACGGCCTGTGAATTTAAGCAAGGGTTATGTATTTGCAGAGACAGAGTCAGTAGATGTGTAGACACTATTATAGGGTCTGTAGGGCTTGTTTAGATGAGAGGTTCACCTGCAAAGTCCCTTCCGATCTTGGGCTGTTCTGGCCTTATACTGGCACTGAGCTGTGGAGCTGGCTTTGCACAGGGAAAGCAGGATGAGCCCGAGCCAATTCTTTTCTCCAGATGGAGCCTACTTACAAGCTGCCATTGCTATTGCTTTAACAGCAAGACCATACCATGCAGAAATTCAGCCAAATCATTGGTGCTGTTAAGGACCCACTGTATTTACTTGAAATAATGATGCTAGCTACTCTCATAACCTGGAAAAGGGACCTAGTTGAGTTACTTTCATGAACAACTTAGGGTATCAGTTTACTTACCGGTCATATGAAAGTAACAAGAAAATCAGTGCAGTATTTTAAATTCAAGTTTGGAGAGAATGCATGAGTAAGCAAAGCAATATTACTTTTATTACTTTGTGTTTTCCACACAGTTTCTTTGTGTAGCTCTGGCTGTCATGGAACTCACCCTGTAGATCAGGCTGGCCTCGAACTCACAGAGATCTGCCTGCCTCTGCCTCCTGAGTGCTGAGACTGAAGACATGTGCCACCACTCCCTGGCACAATATTACTTTTAATCTACTGTGCTATCAAAAATAAAAATATGGCTAATATTTAGAGTTGGATTTTTTTTCTATACTCCTGTGCCCTGCTCCTAAGAGGATAAATTAACATAACACTCAATAATATTTTTAGGTATAAAAATCTCTTCCCAGAAAAACTATTTCTACATCACTTCTAATGGTTCAAATGCAGCTAGAATTAGTTACAATGTTAATTAATAGTACTAAAAACATTTTTGAGACAGTGTTCCTATGTAGCCCACCATGGCCTGGACCTCACAGTATTCCTCCTGCCTTAGCCTCCAGAGTTATAGAGTGACAGATGAGCTCTCAAATTCCTGAATAATATAAATCAAATCATGATTCTTAGTCCGATTTTATGTCGAAGTTGTTTAAAATGAAAACATGCCTAATTGCTGTGGTAAGACATTTACAACATAGTAAAACATTGGCCCACAACATAGGAATTTCATTTTTGCAATTATATATCTCTGTAACTGTGGATCACATCTGATTTTCTCTTATAATATAAAAGAATGCATGCCTGCTGCAAAGGTGAAAGGGAGAAAAATGGACACTGAAAACAAAGACAGCTTCCAGCTTTTAACTTAGAAATATCTATTTACCTTATTTATTTATTTATTTATTTATCTATTTTTTATTTATTTTGGCTCCAAGGAACTACAAAGTGAGAAATAAAGGACCTCTTTTCTCATTTGAATCTCTTTTGAATTTGTCTTTTCTGTTTCAGATTATGAAGCCAAAATACCGCTCCCTTTCTTACCCTTTCCTGCTCCCAAAGTCTCAAAGCACTGCACATGAGCTGAGGTATCAGGTGCCAGGGGCGGTCCCCGCCAAAGTGCAGGTGAGAGACATACTGCTGGGTAATGTCTTTGTGATGGGACTGTCTGCTATCTTTACTTCAGATTTTCCAATAAGCATTTTTCTGAGGTCCACCTAAGTGGATCTTTGAAAATTCAGTGTTATATTTATTTACTCTTAATGAATTCAGTTTGTCATCTAAAACTCACGTGTTATGTCTAATAAAATGCATGTCCTCATAAAGGCCACAGTGCAGGCATAGCTGTTCCCACGATTCCTTGAGGGGTTCCCATAATTCCTTGAGGGTGACCCCGACAACACTTACACAGTAAACCTGTGGCTGGTGCTGCTTAAGCACGAGGGATGAAGCTGGAAACTTAGAGTCTGAGAAGTGAGTTCCTCCTTCAATTGAATTTTAGTGCTTAATTAACCAAATACCTTTTAGAGGCCCTTTTAAAACAACAGGAAGTTGTTTAATAGAGTCATAAAATTTTACAGCTTCCATTCCAACCGCAGCAAGTTACAAACAAGAAAACTCTGACCAGTGGATTCTGGGGCTTATCCAGGGCCACCCACTACTGGTGGATTCCAGCTCTGGCTCAGTGGTCGTCAGTTGGCTCCCTTTATCAATGGCCTCCCACGTCTTGAAGTTATGTAAGGACAGAATGAGGATGGGCTGCCTTTGCATTGTGGCATTGTCCCTGAAAAACCCAAAACATTGTTTGGGCAGAAGCCCAGTGCCCTGCTTGCTGAACATGTCACCAGTGTGGACTGACCTAGCTCAGTTGGGAGTCTAGTGAACCTGCTTTTACAAATGAAGTGTCTGAATCTGTTACTTTGCACTGTGTGCAAGCACTGGTGTGTGCCCAGCAAATGCAAAAATATCCTACAACATAGACAAAATAATACAATAAAAAGAACAAACCAGGGCTGAGATGGCTAGGTTGGTGAAGTGCTTGCCACAAAAGCAGGGGCCTCAGATTGTGATTCCCAGAACCCATATAAAGAAGTTAGGCATGGGGATGTAAGTTTGTAATCCTAGCACTGTGTTGGGGGTTGGGGAAAGCATAAGGATCCTGGGACTTACTGGCCATCCAACCTAGTCAGCCCCAGGCCAATGAGAGATGCTGTCTCAAAAAATTTAGGTGGAGAGATCAAAAGCAATAATATCCAGGCTTGTTCTGTGGCCTCCACAGCAATCACACATATGTGTATGTGTACCCACCCACGCAAAGGCAATTCACCTAAACACCCACATGCAAACACACATGAAAGAAAAAAAAAAACTGGACAAACCACTTGAGAAAAGTACCTGTAGTAGAAATGTAGTCATCTCTGTTTAAAGAGATATAAAAACATTAAATTGTATGAACCTATTTAATTTATTCTTTGTGGTAAGGAGAGCTTACTCATTCTGGAAGACAAAACAAGGATGCTGGTATTGAGGAAAAAACCAGGATTTAAGATTTGAACTTGCATTAAAATTGGTGTTGGGGGGGTCATCTTACCGAAGCTAGCTTCTGTCAAGTATTGATTGGCTGTGGAGATGCCATGGGGTGGAAGCTTGTTGCCATGCCTGATGATCTGTGTTTGATATACTACACTCACACAGTAGAAGGAAACTCCAGCAGGATGCCCTCTGACCTTCATACCCTTCCTGGGGCAAGTGTGAGTCCACACACATACACAAATAACTCGGTATACATGATAATTTAAATATATATGTTTAAATACCATATGTTTATATAAGTATATGTTTAAGCACCAGCTCTTTACACTCTAAGCCATCATTTGCATCCCAAGGGACAAAAAAAATCATTGTTGCTGCCTCTGGAAGTATAGTTTGCTGGGAAGAGGAAGTGTGAGGTTGAAAATTCTCTTGGCAACTCATTTGGATGCCCTCAGAGCTTGCCAACAAGGAGGGACAGAGCTGGTCCTTGTGCCCGAGGAATGAGACTGAAAGACCCCCACAGGGTGAGACCCCCAGGGTTACTACTCGGGAGTGGTGACCTCAGTCACCAGGAGGAGACGAGAACTTAATGCAAACAGCAAGAGGCTTTATTATTCAGCAACCCGAGTCCCGGGGCCCAGCATGTTACTCACGCAGGAGCAGAGGAGCTGGACCCCGAGTTGTGGTCTAGGGGCTTCTTAAAGGTAAAAACAGTTTTGATTAGCTTGTTCCAGGTGGCCGACTGCAATCTCCCAGCGCAATCTCTGGGCTCATGGGTCGTTCAGAGCAGTTTCATCTCTATCTCTGGGAACCATTTGTTAGGGTGGAATTCTTCAACCTTAACGGCTCTTTCCTGTTAAGTTCATAAATTCAGGTTCTCATGTATCTGCAAAGAAAACATCTTAGGCTGGGGTCCTTCAGGATCTCATTGCATACTGGAGAGATGAGATCCCACCCAGCCAAAAGAGAAGCTTTTCAAAAGGGCAGACCATAAGGTTGGAGGCCATAAATTACAGAGTTTCCATGGTTACTTAAGGTCATACAAAGTACAGAGTTAGTAGCTATGCATTTTAAGGAGGATACATTTGACTGAGATAAAACAGGGCATAGGCTTGCACGGTTACAGAGTCACTGGGTCCCTCAGTGATCTCCAGGGCTGGGGGATCTTTATGATCAGCAATTAGCAAAGGAATGTTGACAGGAGTGGTGGACAGTTACCTCTCCTCTGAGAGCAGGGGATCAGGCTCCAGTTGTGGCACTCCTGATTTAAGGAGTTAAATTTTCCTTTATCATTAGAGGTTCCCTAAGTTTTTAAACTTTTATTAATTTGAATTTTTGGTCCTTCAAGACCACCTGCTGTAAATAAATCACTGCCCTTGGAGAAGGTTAGGTAGTAGGGTAAGGCCAGAAGAGGGGCTCTGAAGATGCCTCAGTGACCTTGAATTTGCCCATTACCTCTGAAGATTAACCTATGACAGCAGTTCCCAAACTGGCTTTTGCCTGTGAAATGCTGATAGGCTTTCACAACAGAGGGTTTCCAAGGCTTCTTTACAAGGGTCTGGCAGTACCTTTGTTATGCTAATGTTCCAGAGAGCCATTGAAGGGCTTGAGAGCCATAAGGCCATTCACAAAGTTTATCTGAGGGAAGACTTCTCATTTCAGTTCTTCCCATCTATTTCTGTCAGAATACTTTGGAGCTTGAGGCGCATGCACATGAAGAGCTTTCTGGTGGAAGCCAGGGCAATGGAGGTCTCTGAAAGAACTAATGCCCTGTGGTGCTAAACTAGGAATGCAAGGAAGGGGCAGAACGAAGAGGAAAGACAGACACACTGAAAACGAGGGACTAAAATTGAAGAAAATTAGCTACATAAATATAGTTGATGGCATCTTGAGAGAGGAATGTGAGTGTGGATTTCTTCCTGGGCCAGTGTGTGAGCTGAGGTCACCAGGAGGAATGCTCTTCATGGTTGTTAGGTCTGTTCTGTGGAACACAATGTATCTGAGAGTGGCCATGATTAAAAAGGTGAAAAAGTTTGAGGTAGCACTCCTAGGGACACAGGATAGTGGTCAACTAAGTACAGTCAATATGTTAGAAAGCCAGGCAGTCAGGAAAGCACAGTGTCCTAGTGCAGCTGCCAGGGGCATGAGGCCTTAGTGGACCCCTCCCCCTCCTCCTATTCCTCACTAGAAAGCCTCTCATAGAGACCCTTTCATTCAACATATTTAATAAAGGGGCACTGTACTGCATTATCTTTCATTGACTCCAACTGATGTAGCTTGAAGCCCACATAAAGCTCAATGGCTACATACCCTGACTTTAAAAGGTGTTATAATTGTTTATTACTAAGCAGAAGCCACTACTAGAACTTGTGACTAGTATTAAACCCATTTGGGTGGATCTCAGAGGAAAAAGTTACAAAAACGAATCCCAGCATTGTAGGTACAGTTGGTCACATAAGTAGCTATCAGTTAGTGGCTACTGACATCACAAGGACACCAAAGTAGAAAATACATCATTCCTGAGTTCTGTAATTCCTTTTGTCCTTCTAATCCTCAAAACCCAGTATTTTGGGGGTCAGGACATCTCACTGCTCAATCCTTTCTCAACTCTTGTACCAGGGCTAGGGCTATAGCCCTGCTGGTCAAGGCCTTGTCTGCCTGAAGCCTTGGGCTTTGTCCTCAGCATCCCATAAGACCCAGAGTGCCAGCACAAGCTATAATCCCTGAGACCAGAAGAAATGCAAGGTTATCCTTGGCTACATAGCAAGTTCAAGCCTAATCTGGGATATATAAGACCCTGTCTCAAAAAAAGATATATAAATTTTGTGTCATTTTCCTGATGGGCCCTCCCCCGTTTTAGAATATGTAAGACCTCGTGAAATCTGGGGTTCTACTGGTTTTCAGCTAAATAGCTGTGGTTCTGAAAACTAGCTGCCGCAGGAAGATAGGAAAGCCTAGGTCAGCAGACTCACAGAATGTCTCTCACTGGGTTGTTTACTCCTTCAGTCCTCACACGGGTTAGTTCACCTCTTGTTCGATCACTCTACACTACCATCTCTCTCTAGATTGTTTTTCCAGAGCTATGGCTGTTCAATGCTTAAAGGCTGAAAGCAGGGATCTAGGCCACTCCTGATTTTTTTTTTGTTTTGTTTGCTTGTCTGTTCCATGAAACACTGGGGATTGAACTTAGGTCTTTGGACACAGGAGACAGAGAGTTCTACCACCTCTCATTTCCCAGAGAATCACAAGTGACAATGAGATAGATGCTTGACTTTTGTATTCATCTTCAAAGAATTTGTCATGTTTTCCAAACTTTCAGTCTCTCGTCTGCCAAATGACAGTAGCCAAATATTTTACCGTACCTTGGGAAACTTAGTAATATTTACCCTTGTATTTATTGGATTGTCAAGAGACAATGTCTCGTGGAGGCTGGACTGGGTTTGAACTTGCTATATAGTTAAAGATGACTTTGAATTTCTGATCCTCCTGCCTCCACTGCCAGAGTTCTGGGATCACAGGTGTGCACCATTACTCCCAGTTTCTGTGATTCTGGGGATAGTGCACTCAGGGCTCTGTGCAGCAGGTGTCCATCACTGATGAGATACAGTCTCAGCACGCTTTACTGAGGTTTTCGAGCATGCTTTATTTAATAACAGAACTTAGAGGCCTTGTCTTATTTGTAAATATGCATTATGATCTTGACTGTGATGAGGTGGGTTCTAGAGTCAAGCTCTGCCACTTGCTGCGAACCTTGGGTACATTGCTTTACATATTTTCTTCCTTTGTAAATCAGGGCTAATGGCACTGTTCATCTCCTCCATAGGACCAATAATGGGTAGTGATGAGTAGAAAAGCTAATACAGGCAAAGCACTGGAAGGGTGCCATGGTTGAGGTAGGAGGATAGCCTACCAGTTCAAGACTACTCTTGGCTATAGAATGAAGCCCTGTCTCCCAAACAACCTACATGGGTCAATGGTGCATCCAGCTCGAAGGTTGTAAGTGCTAAAGGTGGGCTCTGTTTTTAGTATGTCTCAGGATGACTGTAACCACAAAGGCCCCAGCAAGGTGACAGTGCTTCATTTGTCACATGCTTTAGCACAATCTCCCATTGCCTGTCTTTTTTTTTTTTTTTGTATTTTTTTTTTTTGGTTCCCCGAAGTCCCCACAAATATCTGCACCCAACCTCCCATGTTTCTCCCCTTTAATGTCTTTCTTTAAACACTGTTTTCTCTCTCTGCTTCAGCCTCAAGACTAACTTCTTTCTTTGGGTCTGGTAAAAAGGCCATTCTTGTGAAAATTGCCTAGCCAATTGAGCAGCAGGTCCTCAAACCCAGAGGTTGTTAAAGGAGGGAGTTTGAGAAGGAGGCATACACCTAGGTCACTTCTTTACTTTCTTGACTGTGGTTGTTTTTAGCCCAGACTGGAAGAGTGAGGCTCAATCTTGGGAGCATATATATATATATACACACATACATATACACACACATATACACACTTTTGTCCTAGGCAATCTTTGTCCATATTTCACTTGGACACTTAGGTAAGTAAGGAGGAACCAAGATATAATACACACACACACACACACACACACACACACACACACACACACACTGGATTTACAGGGAATAGAAGCATTTAGGAGAAAGAAACTTGGGGCCGATACTATAATGTCCTGAAGGTTTTCAGGCAAGAGACATTTCTGTTCTTTATGTATACATCTTAGGCCCATTATATGGGAAGGGAAGGTTGTGGTTAATGAGAAGGCTATTTTTAGTTTAAAAAAATAGGACACTGTACAAAGGAAAATTCCTAGTCCTAGTTATGATCTTGTCCTAAATCATCAAGTCAGATCTATGCCATTTTCATGATGCATATTCAAATTTGAGGTCTGAAAAGTATAGGTTAGATTTTTATTCCCAGCACATTTGGGATATTATTTTGCATGTGAGGGGATGGCCCTTATATTGTTTCAGAACTAGAAATATGAGACAAGCTGGTGAGGTCAAGGAAGCACAAAGAGAATGACTCTCAAATAGAAACCAAATGGAAATGAACCAGCACATGCTTGTTGTTCTTGACTACTGATAGAATTTTCTAGACCATTAAAGATGGAAATTGATTGAGATGATCTTCTACAACTTCAGGGCTGCAAAGGCAAAAATGCAGGCAGGGCCAAAAGGAAATTAGTTTCAATTGCTCTTGTGGTAACAGGCAAGTTTCAACTAATTACAAGATTAAATGACTAATAATCCCAAGTAGTTTTTTCTTTTCCCTCTCTTACTTAAAATTTAACTTTCAAGTTTGTCCCCAGATAATGACTGTTTTTAATGAAATGACTTTCCATTTCGAGTTAAAGCTTGGGCTTAGGCAATGGATTCATAACCATGAGCCCTTGGGAGTTGGGCAACTTCCTGCATTTGGGTGTTGTGAGCAATTTGAGACCCTCCACTTTGGCATGTGGTCTGTCCCATACAATGGGTGTGTTTTGTGGGCGATACAGCTTGACTTTAAGCATTTAAATCCCTCTGATTACCTGTCCCTCGTGGAAAATGGCAGGTGTCTGACCTCCCTGCTTTTCATCCTGGCAGGCATGGCTAAGCAACCTCAGAGTTGCCTATCAGTGTACCCTACCCCCAAGAATTTCTTTTCATTATAGCTTGAAAGACACTCCAAATTATTGTGACAAGCAGGTTGACACCTGCTATGACATCTGGTTGCTGCTAATTTTTACGTTTCATGAATGAGTGTACTGAGTGTGAATAAGAGCAGGTTTTGAGAGTGAGAAAGAAATACAGGTTTTTGCATCTTAGGGGAAGGATAGGGCTTCCAATCAGGGATGCTTATAATTTAGCCGTATCAGATCAAGGCTTAATTTTGAGGGTGACACAAATGACAACTTCTAGCAAGCACTAGCTTTGCAGTTCCTTAGGCTGGCACATATTACTTTAAAATTATTAAGTAGTTTACCAGACCTTTTTAAAGGTATCTGATATAAAACCAATTATCTCTTGGTTTTTATTTTACAGACCTAGTTCAACCATTCGTTTCACTTGATTTTAGATTTTAGTTGACTCAATGAGGAACAGTTTCAACATTCATTTAAAATTAGAAACAACAAATATGTTTTTATATTTCTCCTCTTCCTTCCCCTTTCAATTCCCCCCCTTTCCTTTTTTTTTCTCCTCACTTTTCCTTGTGAGAGACAGGGTCTCACATAGTCCAGGCTTGCCTTAATCTCACTATGTAGCCAAGGACGCCTTGAACTTCTGAGCCTCCTGCCTCCTCTCTCCAGATGCTGAGATCATAGGTGTGTGGCAATGACATCTGGTTTATGGGGTACTAGGGATGACAAACAGAGCTTTGTGTGTGCCAGGCAAACACTCTACCAATTGCTACAAGCTCAGGCCTTTGATGAGTCTTCTGCAATGATACCTAGTTGTTTAAGTAAACCAAGAGGTATATAGTAAGCGCTTACTATGTATAAAAGACATACATACCCCTTTAGTCTCAGCACTCGGGAGGCAGAGGCAGGTGGATCTCTGTGAGTTTGAGGCCAGCCTGGTGTACAAAGCTACACAGAGAAACCCTGTCTTGAAAAACCAAAGGGGAAAAAAAAAAGCATACTGCAGCAGTTAAAATCCTGGAAGGACTACCAAGTGAAGGTCATTTAGTGTTGGGAAGTCTATGGGATCCTCCAGTGTTCCCCTGCCCCGCCCCCACATGCACAGCCACGCATAGTCACGGTCTGCTTTGTAGCCTTTCTCTCTGATGTGATCTGCCATAGCTCAACTTCACCTGCCAATGCTATCATCATTAGTCAACAGTTACAAACTGTTTACTAGGTATGAGGCTTGCTGATAGACACATCACAGTCATTAATCTCTGCCCTACATCACGGGCCTTAATCTGCATGTAGGTGCAGCTTAAGGACTGTCATAGGGAAAGAGGACAAAGTTATGTTAATTGTAATGACCTAAATAAGTCTTCAAAAATATTCCTTGTAGGAACCACAACTTAAGTCTCCAAGCTTTGAATGGAAATAATGCTGGATGGAAGGGTGCAGTTTTACTTTGCTTTTCAGTTGCTATAATAAATGCCATGGCCAAAAAGAAATCAGGGAAAATAGGGTTTATTACATCTTACAGGTTTTGGCCCATCATCCAGGGAAGCCACAACAAGAACTGAAGCAGGAACCATGGGGAAACACTGCTTACTGGGGAAACACTTCCTCCCTGGCTCCCATTCACACCTTTTTGATACAGCCCAGGCCCACCTGGCTAGGGGTGGCATTGCTCATAGTAAGCCTGGTCCTCCTACATCAATTAGAAATCAAGAAAATGCCCCACAGACTTGCCCACAGGCCAATGTGATGGAGGCAGTTCTTCAGTTGAGGTTCATTCTTCCCAGGTGTAACAAGCTGACAAGTAAGCTTAGCCACCACAAGGATGTATTCTGGGTGTGTCCAACTCTCCCTTGGGCCATGTGGGACTCAAGCCACTGTGGTCATTGGTTTAGAAGGAATGACTTCATCTCATCTGTACAAATAGTGCCATCTCTCTTGTCTGATGTTTGCTTGTTGCTGATTGCTGTCTTGTAGTTGCTCCGATCTGCTGCTGATTGGTCTGCTGGTATAAAGCACCACGAGGAGTCAATCCACTCTGCCTACATCAACGTAATAGAGAACAGCAAGCACTACATCTACATTGAAGTAAGTGTGTCAGCAAGTCAATTACATAGCCTGCCTTCCCGGGTGTCTTAGTTCCTATTGCCGTGATAAACACCATGGCCCAGGGCAATTTGAGGGAAGGAAAGAGTTTATTTGGCTTGCATTTTCATGTCATAGTACATCACTGAGGGAAGTCAGGGCAGGAACTGAAACAGAGGCCATGGAGGAACACAGCTTACTGGCTTATTTCCCATGGCCTACTTCTTGTGTCACCCAGGACTACCTGGCCAGGACTATTTGGCAATGCCCCATGGAAGGACTAGACACTTCCATAACAATCATCTACCAAGAAAATGCTCCACAGAATTACTTGCCTATGAGCAATCTGATGGAGTCATTTTCTCAATATACGTTCTTCTTCCTAAATAACTTTAGTTTGTATTGAGTTGACAAAAAACAAACAAACAAACAAACCCCCCAAAAACAAACAAAACAAAACAAAGAACCTAACTAACCAGGACACAAAGTATCATAGAAGACTGTAGGAACCCTAGTTCAGGATTCAGTATGGCCCTCAATTCAGCATGAATTGAGTTACGAAATACTGATTGTGGTAATTTGTATTTCCGTCTCCCAGCATACCTAAATTCACTCTGCACCATCTTTAACTCAAGACTCATGGAACCTTGTAAACCCTTGTGGTACTGACATGTATCAGCTTATGAATACATGTTTTGCTAAAACAACCCCAGCATGGATGTAGAAGTTTTCACTGAGGTATGGTTAGAAATAGTGCATGAATCATGCACTATTTCAGGAGAGCACACACATGCACACATGCTCATACACACACATACATGCACATGTGCGCGTACACACACAGAGTAAGTTGCTCACATAGAGGACCTACAGGATACCCCTGCTGTGGGGAAATCCTGGAGTAGGAAAAGACAGGGAATGGAATATGGGAATGGGTGACATGAGGACATTAAAGCTCAGTGTCACTGTTCATGATAAAGCCTTTCCAGAACACAGCTTGTGTTCAAAGCCCATGAGAAAATCTGGGAGCATCAAGTTTAGTGTGGGAACTTTAATTGAACTTCAAAATAGATACAGAAATAGTACAGACTCTTTGGAACCCCTGAGAAAAATAAAGAATCTCCATAATGGGGGGAGACCCAAGCCAACACATAATCTCCCTCCTCTATCCTGGTTTTATTTTTCCATTGAATAAAAATAGAATGTGTAGCCAGAAATGGATTGTGGGAAAAACCATTTGAGCCCTGTTTTTCTTCTCCTAGAGTCCTGTATTCTTCTCTTCCAAAGAGTGACAGCGATTAAAGGCATCAGCAAACAATTGTAGCTGTACTTATTCCTCAGACCTGGAGAAAAAGAAAGCTAACTAAAAATGTATATCCCACATGCAGCTGATAAAGGGCATTAGTGGAAATCAGGGAAGTCCACTCAGGAGTTTAGTAAGATGCTTCTTATCATTAACTGTGAGAATGATGTTGTCATTGCAAAAGATGTGACAGTTGCCTCACCCAGCATCCAGCCATTTTGTTTCATTTTTAAAATAGCATAAAGACCAGTATCTTAGTTACTTTTCTTTATGCTGTTAAGATAGCTGACAAAAGCCATTAAGGCAGAAAGGGTTTGTTTTGGCTCCCAGTTCTGGAGATTATAGTCCGTCATGGCAGGGAAGTTATGGCAGCAGGAGCAGGAGGTGTCTGGTCACCTTACACACACAGCCAGGAAGCAGGGTGATGGATATGGGTACTCAGCTCCCTTCTCCTTTTTAATAAGTCTGTGGTCCCAGAACAGTGCTGTTCACATTTAGGGTGGGACCTACCTCCTCAGTTAACCTAATCTATGTAAGCCTCACCAACATGCCCGTGATTGTAAATTCCATCAAGTTGACCACGTGACTAGTCCAATCAACTTCTCTCTCTCATGCCAGCATGGCATTGAATGAGGTCAGCAGTGCCGTGGGCATTCATGGTTGTGACATTTCTCTGGGTGATAATCTGTATTTCAATAGGCGGTACTAATAATATTTATTGGTTATTTTTTATCATTCTTTTATGCAACAATAAAAATCCTTTGTATCATTAGGATAATTATGTAGCCATTTTCTAACAACAGTTTCAAAGAATGTTTTATAGATCTATGAATAACAGAAATACTTAAATAAAACCATTTTCTTTCTATTTTATTAATAATATTTCATTAATATTATAATATATATAATCTCATATATATATATATATATATATATATATATATATGAGATTTGAGAGCTGGGTAAATGACTCCCTGAAGAAAGTCCTTTCCATATAAGCGCAAAGGATCAGAGTTCAGATCTTTAGTACCCACAAAAATTCTGGGTGAGCATGGAAGCCTGCCCTCACTTGCAAAGTGGAAACAGGAGATCCAGACTAATCCTTTTAGGAAGTTCTGGGCTCAGCTGGGAACCCTTGCTTTAGTTAAAAAGGTGGAGAGAGAATAAAGGAGACTCCTGAGGTCAGCTGGGACCTTTACAAGCACACATGGCACTCTGACCAGCACAGACACATGTGCCCACACACATGACCATTCACATCAAAAAAAAAAAAAAATTATTTGAAGGAGATTTAGAAACTTCTTGAAATAGAAGTTCAGGGACAGGAGAGTCCCAAAGACAGAGGACAAGGTGAAAGTAGGTGCTAGGGAACGCTGGAGAAAACCTCTGCTGAATGAGCAGGCCTTCTGCCCAAGACAGTATGCTTGCCAGTGTGGAACTTTTAATACCAAGTGTGTGTGTGCTGTAGGAATCAAAAGGAAACCTAACTTGGAATGCCCATGGCATTCTCAGAATGTAACTTGGATATGTGTGTTAGGAAAACCACATAGCCTTCTTCTTGAGGAAGATGTGGTAAGCAGAGTGATGCAATGCTCATGAGACCTGGGGTCAGATAGCACTTCCCATACTCTGGGCTGTTTACTTTTCCCCTGAGATTCAGTGGCCTCAACATACCCAAGTGTGAACCATGTTTATAGCAATATAGTGTTTGTTCCCTCATTCTCCATATCTTCCAGAGAAAACAAGGCCTTACACGGTGTCCTATTTTTCTCACAGAATCAATTTTTCATAAGCTGTGCTGACGATAAAGTTGTGTTCAACAAGGTGGGAGATGCTATTGCACAGAGAATCCTAAAAGCCCACAGGTAAGATTTGCTTTGACCAAAATTTGAGCCAAAGTACTGTAGCTGCTCTTGCTTTGCTGTGGAGGTGGTTCCAAAAGCTTGTTGAAAACGGACTCTTCGTTATTTTGTGAGTCAGTTGCTGAGAAATATTCAGTTATCTTGATGGGAATTTGAATTTTTCCAGGATGTAATCAGCTTCCTGGCCTGCCTTTTTTCCCACATATGGGGTTTGTGTTCTGATTTATTTCATGGAAGACAGTGAACTATGCTCACACAAACAAAACCAAAAGGACAGAAAATATTGCCACAGAGTTATATTTAAATTCTCAATTCCAAATGTCATATTTCTTTAGCTCATGGAATCATTTCTCAAGTCTCATTCTAATCATATCCATATACTGTGCAGTCCACTCAATAAACTGAACAGTCCAACAGCTTAGCATATTCACAAAGCAGCTGCCGTTGACTGATTTTGTTATCTTTATTTATTTTAATAATATTACTATTGTGTATGAGTGCACACATGGTGCACCCATACACAGCATATGCCATGGCCTATGTGTAGAGCTTCTGTGAGTCAGTTTTCTCCTTCTTCCCTGTGGGTCCCAGGGATTGAGGTCACGTGGTCAGGACCAGCAGTGAGCACTTCCATCTCTGGCAGCCTTTATGAATATTTTGTTCTAAGAATTTTTTTTTCATTTAAAAAATGTTATCTTTTTGGTTTGGGGTGATTGTGTGTGTGTGTGTGTGTGTGTGTGTGTGTGTGTGTGTGTGTGTGAGAGAGAGAGAGAGAGAGAGAGACCACTGAGCTATCATGCTGTCCCAATACTTTATTTTTTAGTTTTATGTGTTAATATTTGTATCTTTGACTCACTTTGAACTATTTTTGTATTTTGTGTGAGTTAGCAGTTCACCTTCACTGTGTTTGTAGATGTAGACTGCTGGTTGAACAGACTATGGTCACACACCTTGAATGCACCCTATATGGTCTCAAGGGTCTTTCTTCCCCTTACTGAGTTGTTTGGCCTCTGGGACTAATGGTGTGTGTGTGTGTGTGTGTGTGTGTGTGTGTGTGTGTGTGAGTGTGTGTGTGTATCTAATTTGAGTTCTATGTAAAAGCAGCAAAGTCAACAGAACTATTACACCTCACTAAAGTCTTTGAAGATATACAGTTAATATCACATTTATACACATCTGGAAATAAAACCATTTTTCCATCTTTTTAAGTATAATGTTTGGGGATTTTAGAAATGAATGAAATCTTAGTGGTAACTATCAATATTTTATCTGTTTTGTAGTTTTTATTTACATCATCTTATTGAACTTTCACAATTGTGAAAGCTGGTCTTATAGCTGTGGATGTTCAATAAATCGTAGGACTTGTGCTGTTATTTTCTTGTCATAACTTTTCTTGTTGTTATGACAAAATACCTACAAAAGCAGCTTAAGGCAGGAAGGCTTTGCTTTGTCCCACAGTTTAAGGATACAGCCCACCACAGTGGGGAAGGCATGGCAGGATGCAAGGTGGTGTTTGCCTTCCATCTGTAGTCAGGAAGCAGGGTTGGACAGTGGTACTCAGCTCACTGTCTTTGTTGTAATTCAGTCTGTGGAATGGTACTGCCTTCATTCATAGTGGCCGTGTCCATGTCAGTTGACCTAATCTAGTAACTCTCTTCCAGACACTGTCTCTTCAGTGATTCTAGACCTTGTCAAATTGACAATATTTACCACCACATTTGTCTAGGTTGCTTTTCAGCAATAGGCCACAAGAGTGTTGAGCCCCTAGTCTTTGGGACTTTGAAGGACCAAGTGTTTTCCTGATAGCATGTAAACAGGATCCATAGATGGTTAGGAATTAAGGTGCCTTCACCACATGGGGTTTTCTCATGTGGAGACAGCTGAGGTGGAGACTTCTATGACTCTTTCCCCTTCAGCATGCATACTGATCCCAGAGAGTGGGAATGAATGACACAGGTTCCTTTGGCCTATGGAGGGTAAAATCTGGAGAAGGTTGTTACTGTGAATCAGCAGCCAGGCCTCTCAGCAGTGGGGATGGCTGTCTCAACCCTGTGCTGAGGGGATCTGGGTAGCCCCGAATTCTGTACACCTTGTGGACGGACGGCTCAGCAGTCCTTACACTGCACTGTTCATTAGAATCTACCTCAGGCACCTGTAAAATGGCAGTTTCCCTCATCTTCACATTTCCTCAATTACAGTTTCCTTGATGGAAGCCATTGGGTTGTATATTGCTGCAAAGATGGCCCAGGCATAGCTAAGTTTGTGTGGTATTCACCTGGAACAAAGACAGCTAGGAACGATAGCGTCTGTGTTCTGCCTTTACAAGTCCCATTTACTCTTTACCCTCTGGATGCTTTTTAAAGTCACCAGCGCATATGTTGCTGGGTTTATAAGCAACCTTGCTTGTGGTTGGACACACACACACACACATATGCTCAGAGATTTCTCACATTCCTGGTCTCCCTCGTCTCTGGAGCAATTGGGGGGATTTGAAAGAATGCATTATTTTTGACATCTCATTGATGTAGAGGTACATGCACATTTGGCAAGAGGGGGAAAAATGTGTTCTTATGAAGTTGAAGTAAATCACAGAAAAATATCAAGTTAGCAAATGAGTTCGTTGCAGTGAATGGTGGTTTGTGAATTTTGGAACTGTGATTAACAAATAAATGCAATAGAGTAAGCTAGAACTTTCATCTCTCCTGATAGTTCCTTATAGGTACCTGCAAGATTGGATTGGGTAGTTTGGGAGCCTGAGAGGATATTTTTCTGTGTGTATGTATATACATGTGAAGGTGAGGGTGAGTGAATGTGTGTGAGTGTGTGTGTGTGTGTGTGTGTTGTACGCCACAGGATAGCCTCAGCTTACATGTTTCTATTCCTTAGGTGCTACAGGCTATCACTAGATAAGAAGATTGAATAGTTGATTAAAATGTGCAAAAGCATTCAAGTCAGAAATGCTTGAGAATGTGAACTGTCAGATCTCTGAGTTCAAGGCCAGCCTGGTCTATATAGTTCCAGGATAGCCAGGTTGTGCAGAGACTGTCTCAAAAACAAATAGGTCAATATTGAATCTTTTCATCTATCTGTCAATCTAATTATCTACCGATCTTTCTTCTCTTCCTTCCTTCCTTCCTTCCTTCCTTCCTTCCTTCCTTCCTTCCTTCCTCTCTCCCTCCCTTCTCTTAATTTCTTCTTTTCTTCTTTCTTTCTTCCACTCATTCTCTCATCTCTCTGTCTCTCTCTCTCTGAGACTAGTCTCTCACTAGTCTAAAATTCACAAAGTAGTTAAGGCTAAGCGGCCAGTCAGCCTCGAAGATGCCTCCTGGCAACAGGATTAAAATCATGTACTATCATAGCTAGCTTTTTGAAACATGTGGATTCTGGGCCAGGTCACCATGCATACAGAATGAGTACCTCACTGACTGAGCTGTCACTGCAGCCCAAGAACATTTTTCTCTACCATTTTAATTCACACCAAAAAAGTTGGACTATTCCTAAAATTCTAGTATTTTGGAGCAGGAAGGAATTTATGGTATTTTCTGATTATATGTTTCCTAGCAGCCTTGTGACAGCTGATTCTGATTCATAGGTGTGTGGAGGCAGTGTCTGCCACAGACTGTACCTTTTGATTTGACTTAACTTGAAGTCTGTGGGCTAGTTTTCTTAGGCAAGGTCAAGGAAGAAGACAAAGCCCCATTTGCAGGCTGCCTGAGGTGGGTGGGTGGGGGTGTTTTGCTCAGCAATGGTCTGGGCCTTGCTCTTTCTCTTCCTTCATAGATCTCCCTTGCCAAAGACACATTCTTATCAGCAAGTCTAACTCAGTGGCCAGAGAAGGACTAGATGACAGCACAAAGCAGGTGCAGGGAAGTGACAGCAGACTGCCAGGTCTTACCAAGGACTATGGGCCCTTAGCCAGGGCCTTCTCACCTCGGGTGTAGATATGAGTCCCCAAGGTGCCAGCTCCCTCTGCAAGGCTGTCTTATTTTCTCCCAGTGATGGAATGGAGCCTTGTCCCAGTTCCTCAGAGACATTTACTTCCTTTTCCACAGCCATCATTCTCCACAGAAATGGGATTCTGCCAAGTCTTTGCTATGATCCATGATCTAGAGTTTCAAGCCCGTGTTCATTCCACAGTAACTGAAGAGAAGAAGCCAGGGGAATTGTTGCAGAAAACAACATGTCTGCTCTAATACCTGAATTTGTCTCAGAGTGGAAACCCAGCCCCCTAGAAACATGCCTTTGACGATTCAAATGTGTCTGAGCAGGCAGGATCAGTCATGACTATCTCAAATCATCTCAGGCACCATGGCTGGGTAATCAAAGGGATAGTATAATAACAACCAATCTAGATGGAAACATTTTAAGACACTACATGTCATGAGTGAATGATTTCTGGGGACCATGTCAGGTCTGCCTATTTGGACATGCAAAATTTCCCTGCCTTGGTACAATTCCAGAAGATGAGAGAGTGCATGCACCTCACATGACTCTCACCAGAAACTTGATATACAGTGACAATGACAATTGGCTGCCCGTGTCTGTTAAAACCAAATGGCATTAAAAACTGAACCATTAAGCCACTTTAAAAACATGCAGGTTTTAAATATTGTTTAACCATCCCAGATGGTTCTTACAACTGTGGGGAGTTACAGTTGGCAAGTAAATGGATGGTATGAACAGTGGCCAATAATGAACTCTAGTATCCTTGGGGACCAACTGCCTGGGGGCTCAGGGCCTTTTCCTGCTGTGTTAGCCACAGATATGTGGCTATCGGTTTGTGTTTTTTTTAATGCTGTTTCTTCACCAACAGAGAGAACAATGACACAGTCTATGTGAGTGTTTATGGTGTCAGTTAGGTGACAAAGCACCAGTTCATGTGGAATCATAGCATTCCAGGGCCATCCTCATCTGGGAACACACTGCACACTCTAAATCAGGAGTATAAAGAGCCGTTACCACTAAATCATAGTTCTTATTTGTGCTAGAAACAAAGATTCCAACTAAA